CCATGATGTCATGATGTGACTTATTCTGAACGGTAAGGGGAAGATAAAGAAATCATTTAGAAAGTGGACATCGAATCACCTCAAGTGAATTCAAACGTGTTCTATATATATATATATATATATTTTTGCTGCAATTGAAACCTTTACATCACCAATTGTTTGAGGGGTTCCATTATCTTTGCACCCAGGACAAATGCATCTGCATACCTTTGCACTCACGGACATTTGCACCCATGAACAATTGCACCCTTACATTTGCACCCGTAGACAAATGTTCATGGGTTCAAATGTATGTAGCGTACCGTCCGTCTATATATGAATGAATTTTCCAAGTCCAACATAACTTTTAACATGATGTGATCCTCTTCTCTCATATTCACTTCAATTATTGCCTTTTTAATCTATTTATTAGTTATCAATCTGAAAATTTAATACAACCAAACACTCCAATGAAATCAACAGATTAGAAAGGACACAATGAAATTGAAAATAACGAACACTAGGCATAACATCGCAAGGAAAATAATATATACAAGGAAAATACTGAAATGTGAAGACAGCCCCTGAAATCCTGTACATTCCAGCTAACCGCTGATTATCATACTGACTAACATTAAAATATCTAAACAAATGCTAATCTAATAGCCATAAAACAAATGTCGGTCGGAGCAAAAGTATGTAGGTGCAAATGTCCTAGGTGCAGATTACGGTTGCAAATATACGATGGGAGGAAATGTACTGTCACCGTTTTAATTAAGGATTGCTCTGATACACATTGTCCTTATATAATACATCAACAGATAAAATTCTAGGGGGTTCAAGTCCGATGAACGAGGTGCTCACTCAATGTCATTGCTGTTCAGCCTTTCCTGAAATCGCTCTCTCAACCAGCGTGTGATTGTCTCGTTTGACTTGTCCTAACAGCAAAAAGTTCGCTTCTGAAGAAAACCAAGTGAGTGACTGACGTGTTTGCGAAATGGATTTAAGTTTGCTCCTACTGCTGTAATTTGGAACATATTGTAGGGAGAACATACCTTTTGTACAAATTGTCCTAGTTTACTCGAAACTTTTAGTTATGATCATACACAAACATAAGTTCGAGCGCAAACAAAAACAAAATTTTTTTATCCTCGTAGGTGTATTCGAGAAATTATTGGGTTCTATTTTTTGGAGGTCACCAATCACAATTTAAAAACGAAGAAATAAAACAAAAAAAAAGAGGTGAAATCTCAATAATGTATTATTAATATAATATTAATAAAAATGTACATCTCTCTATTCAAAAGTTGAAAAAAAAGGCACAACAGATGATATGCTGTTTACATGTATAGGTTTTCACACCGGCGAAACCTGATGTCTTGTTGCTCGTGTTCAACCGTCGCTCTTTATATGTGACGTACCTTGCTGTAATCTATACGTGGAGTGGCTGGGAAAGTATGCGTTTTGTGTTGAATTGCAATGACGTTCATATCTTGCCAAATGCACACTATGCTGACACATGTCCAACCTACGTACAAAAAGCATCGCACATGCTTGTCTCATATTTATTGCATAATAGAACCGTAAATATATACTACTACACAGAACTAAAATATACACAAATTGAAACTTGCTTCCATTGAAAGTTCATATTTTTAAAGTTGAACTGCAGGAAATAAGGCTCACAATTTATGAATCGTTATTCCAACGATCACGCCACTTGATGTTGCTCAAAAATTGCATTTAGATTTGCCAAAATTTAATACTGCTGCTGTCAGAGGTGTCGGGGAAATACATGTGTCTTAATAGCATAATATGGAAACATAATATTGTCAGATGTTCTACATGTATATAACTATGATTCAAACTTAAAAACTTTGACACCGATAGTTGGCTAGATGACAATAAATGCAAGCAGAAAAATAATGATATTTTTCGAGAGTTTCCGATTATGCTCGTCATTTATCGTGTGAAAATTGCATGGCTGCAACAAATCCGTTTCCTGAATTGGGAATAATTTTCTCCCGCTCCATTAGAAATGACGCAATTGTGCAAGCAATCGTCTATTTTTTATTATAAAATATAAAAATATATGGCACATTGCAAACATTCGTACTTAACTTTCGTACTTAGAACGAATATTGCTCAAATGATTAGCCCATACCAAGCCATTGGTCCAAAACTCGCATCGCACGTTACTAGAAACATAAGATTGTGAGTGAACATACAGTTCAATAGAATTGGTCTGCTGTTGTTAGATTCTCCTGGAATGAGAGTTGGCCTGAAAACCATTACGCTAGGGGGAATATGAAATATACTTACAAAGTGATAAGTTTGTACAGCTCAACTGCTTATTAGGACAGGATTTGAACACAATAAAGAGACAATGTCAATAATCAGCAGTCGAGATGCATTACATCATTCATATAAAAGGTTTCGCCATTTATTGAGCAAACGTTACGTTTATTTTTAGGTTCATGTACCCAATATTATTATTTGGGAGATTTGAGGGGAACTACCGGGTAATGTATTTGGTTGGTGCGTTTTGTGACGATGATTGTCAAAACCTATCTTGTACAACGTGTCGAACTTACCGGGAGCCGTGTTTTAATGAATTGAGCAGTCATTTCAAAACTAAATTTCCTCTAATTTATTTTTCACATTAATCAATTCATGATAGGGCAAAAATATCGCCCTATTCGTCACATTAGCACATCAGACAATGATTCACCTAAAATGACCAAGTTCCACGGTTGAAGAATATTTTGAAGAATATAATATATATATTAAGACGTCACATATTCAATTTAGGCCGGGCGGGCACATTTTTCGTTGCTCACGTTACCTATTTATCAGTTGCTCATATTGCCACTATTACAACCAACGCTGTTCAAAATGGTCTTGAGCCAAGATCATTTATTTCCATAATTTGAACTCATAACAAACCTAAATTTTAACAAAATCAGCCGCGAAATATAATATCAGTTTTATGACGTGCTTCGCATCTTCTGTCGTAACAAGGTTCTGTACAAGTAGTTGAGGTTTGTAAATGGCGAAGTATTTCTACTTTTGTGCGCTACCTCGTTCGATTGCAAAATCAATATTGTTCAATGTCGATAACGAGCGTTCTCAAATGTTTCCGATTCCTTTTCTATATATATTTACAAAACTCTGTTCTCGGTTATATACATTTCTTAGATCTCTGGGTTGCCCAAAGTTGATGGCTCAATTTCATATCCATGTCTCAACGTAAAATCAGGAGTGTTTGAGTTACATAACTATATGAAAATGGATTGGCCCTTGATTTTAACTGAAGAAATTGTTAATAAGTCTGACGTTTCGTCGACAACTTGATGTTATACCTGTCAAAATGTTGGTTAAGACTTTATAGAAGTCAGTAAATTGCCAGCCGGTTGATATCACCATCTCACAAATCGCTAAAAAAATGTTTTATGTAAGTCGTAATTCTTGATCGTGCTTCTTATACATATTTACCTTATGCTTGTATACTTGCCCTTCTTTCAGTCTAACATAGTTCACGGCACTTTATTAGCAGGAGAAATATAAAGTATGAATTATGGTCAGATGCACGCAGTAACTGCGGTAAGTTATGCTGCATACAGTGTCTAAAATAGTAAAATTAATATAAGAGCAGTAATAAGATCGCAAATGTAACATTTAAATGCACGCATGCTGATATCGCTTGACGTGATGGATTCACCACAGTTATTCAATTTGTACGTCAAGGCTCTTTCCGACCGACCATTGAAGCCCTTCCGCACTGTAAGGGGAATGACAAGCGTAATAACGCTCGTATGCCTCCGAAGCCACCAATCGTGGCAGAGTCGGCTAAAGTTAGATAATCAAATTAATTTCGGTTCTGTTCTAAAATAATTCATATATCGTTCACTAGCGAAAAATTGCCAATTATACCTGGTGAATTTCGCACTGCATCCATTGCGGCACATCGTGTCCATCTGTGGAAAAGATTGCCATTCAAATGTCGATCGGGCCATACATCCCTATTCCTCACTAACAATTTATTGCATGACGAAAAACTCTTTTTGTATATTACCAGAGGTTCTGCCTATCATTTCCATGTGTTTGAAAACTAAAAATAAAACTGTACATGGTAAACCTAAATAATTATATATACTGTTCAAACAGAGCGAACAAAACAAATTACGGCCTCTCCACGGGGGATAGGATAGAATTTCATGGGAACTAGGAGCAAGTTATTTTATTCAATGTATTTGAAACCAGCTGATGGGCAATAACATAATCAGTGCTATTACCTATTATGAATGTCAGCTGGACGTACCATGCGTTAAATCCGATTTGAACGTGGAATATGAAATAACTACCAGAACAATATCAACATGAAAACGAATGTTATTGTAGATGTTTGTACAATTAGGCGACATTCACGAACTTTTTTTATATTTCATCATCAATTTTACTTTATGAAAATCAGCCTGGATGCAACAATGTACGATAATCAGTAAACTTTCTCACACATTCATCAACTACATGTTATAGATTGTATATTGAACTCCTTGGTGCATTAACTGTAATATTATTAAATTTGAACGGTAAGGTGACGAAAGACAATTCCGAAACAATTGAAGGTCGGAAATAAACCATTGTGACAAGAAGTAGCTGCTACACTCACATGGCCAATTGTGAATAAATATCTGTTTGGCATTGTGACTAGATCATCTACTCACAGTGAGAAAGAAGATCATGCTACACAGACATTGCATGTTGCTGTTGTTGCCAATATGCCGAGTTTGTGGTTTTCGATCATTTATAAATTCAATGCAGCTGTTATTATATTGCGAAACAGGACCGGTCGACAAAAATTAAAATCGGGTAATCCCACTTAATAATCTTTCTGAGTTTCTGAACTCAGTCTTCAGTAGACTCCAACAGCGAAATTTACGTACTATGCTAGAATTTTCTTTGATGTTCATACTAAATAAAAATCAACTCGAGTCCTCTCCGTACAAATTAATAATAGCTATATTCTGTAGAATATTTATTCAGCACAAATAAACCATATTGTGGAATAAAAACGGCAGCTCAATATTACATCGGCAAGAAAACAAGTTTTATGTAGAAACTTTAATTAAAGCATGAACCATGCCAGTCAAGTACCAGCAGATTTGAGAATTAATAAACACCATATGAAGTGATGGCTGAAATCAGCATATATCGGACACTTTGAATATGATATTTGTCATCACAATCTCTCATAAATTGGTACAACGTTTACGTATTTAGTACAAGCCACTAGAATTAAAATTTTAATCGGAACAATTTCGACAGTGGCTTCTAACTGATGATTACAGAAAACAAAACGTTTTATTCTGGAACCGAAAATTGGTCAAAACTGTTAGTAATTCAAGAAGTTATTTTGACAGTGTTTCTCAAATAACACATCCTCTGATGCTAGTATTTGGAATTTGAATATCCGCCACTTCATAGTGGAAACTAAGCATATAATTGCTAAAATTCTTAATGGTACAGAAAGTGTGAAGATAGAAAATAGAAACTAAAGACTCTTATTGAAAAAAAACTGCAAACAAAAAATCCATGCACACTGTTTGAAGATTTTGGGCAACAAGTATTATACAGATAGTAAGTCTGCGTCAAGTCCAGGTGAAATATTTGTAAGTTATAACTAATATTACCACGATGTGACTTATTCTGAACCAGAAGGGGGAAGATAAAGAAATCATTTAGGAAGTGGACATCGAATCACCTCGAGTGAATTCGAACGTGTTCTATATAGTTTTCGTTTGACTAATGTAAAATCCGGCATCAGGTTAAGTGATTTTAGGTTTTTTTGATTAGAGTTAGGTTTATTTCTGTGCGCGTCACAATCTCCTCTACCTGCTTTTAGGGAGGAAGAAAATAATTTTCGAACCCACCATGACCAAGATGTGACAGGAGCAAGGTAAATATACAACTCGAACGTTGGAACCGAATCAGAGTCGCATAAATCTAAACAACCCAAGTCCGCACAAGCCACCTGCAGCCTCGAAGCTGCTGATAAACTTGGCAATATTGGAATCGCAGATGATGATAGAGAGTGTTGAAGACGTCGGTGCATGGGCCGTCTGAATTCCGCTGAATCAGCAAACCCACTGTCCGTACTAAAATCCGGTGAAAAACGCTCTGTCAAAGTAGCATCCATATCCGGCAGAAGTCTAAAATCCAATTCGGGTCGCTCAGCATTACTCAAGTGGGTATTTGTCTTTTTTCGCGGCTCCTCCGGCCAGCTTGCACATTTTTCTAATCGTGCGTCAGAAAACACTGGGCCCTCTCCTACTTGTGATGTCATCAACACGCCAGCAATGTCCTCATGAAGCAGGCGTAAGTTGACACAGCAGCCGCGTAAACCGCATGGTTCCGATGAAGCAGTGTCAACGATTTTGTTGGCTAGGCGATGAGGAAGATCAATGGGAAACTTTAACGCAAGACCTTGAAAATAATGAAAGCAATTGTTAGTCTTAATTGCAGCAAAGTTTGTGTTGGATGCGGCTGTAAAACACTCGTGGACTGAAACTGAAAAAGCCAGGTGATCAAATTATTGAAATTATTTTTTCGCTCATTGAGATTTCAAGAAGAAACAATTTAATGAAAAAGATTTCATTATTCGCTATACATTACCTCTGTCTATTCAAGCATAGTGTGTGTGGAGTTAGAAACACATATCGTTTGTAGAAAAATGTCTCAGAGAAAAAAAATCGGGCATTCAAGACATTTTTTGGGGGAAATTTCTCACATAAACGGTACCTACCATGTTCTGAAGCTGATGATTTCAATTTTTCTTCTAAATTCTTCGTTAATATCGAACATTTTCGTCGAACTTCATCTTTCCAAAGATTCCCTGATTTATAAAATAAAATGGAACAATTACGGTAATGTTTGAAAATAAATTATTAAGCGACTAATGGGTTATTGAAATACCGGTCACATTGACGTTGTAGATAATCTTTATCAAGGTAATGAAATGATCGAGCTCGGCAAAACATGTAGATGTATTGCCGGTAATTAATATTAACACAAATTTCTGTCGCGTAATTTTAATTAATTGTTTGTTATTGTCTATACTCAACAAACCTCTAATCGCCAGCATTAATGAATTGAGGGACAGGTTATACCGAAATCGGCGGCTACTGATATCGTATTGTGTGTCTCACACCATGGGGAGAAATTTCGCAACAGCGGCGTTTCTAAGATATAATCGAATTTTTAAAAAATGATCGCAATCGACGCGAAAATTTCGTAATCCTGTTCAATTCAGTTAAATACGTTATATTGCTGTATTGCGTCATTCGACGATGCGACATGTCGGAATCAGTTGTCTGCGTGACGAAAAATAATACATCGCAAATAAAGGCTACTCGGCCGGTCTGATTGATTCCAATTGCTACTAAATTCCACAGGATTTCTGATAGTCTATACTCTATACTGACAATAAAAATGCTTACCGTTTTCTACTAAAATCCCGTCGTATGTACCATTTTCCATGCTGTCTATTTCTACTGGTAATACATCGGAAGAAAGTTCTAAAAATGAGTCAGTTGAAATGTCGTTGTCCCAAAATCCAACATCACTATGTCCACAGTCGCAAAACGAATCAATGTTAGTTGTTTTCCTTGTGCAACGATTTTTGCGCGCCTCCGCTTCTGTAATTTGCTTTCTACGTTGTTGCTTTGTGGGTTTGCGAACGAAAGACGAAATCATTTCGCGAAGAGAAGTTTCGTTCTTCGAAATAGTCTCGCTGGAAGCCATTTCAAGTCTTCAGAGTATGATTCACCGACAAATATAGCAGTGAAGTTAAGCACTAAACACAATACAAAAAGTATGTTCACCGTGAATATTACTCGTTAATCGTTATTTATAAAACAGTAAAACAAGCATTCACACCAACGATCAGGAAACGCAGAAACGTGCAAGTAAGTGATATGTTGAAAAAATAGATCTAGAGCGGACCGATATAATTTATACACATACACAAATTACCCTGTACCAAGTATATGCAGATATAAGTACTGATTTATTTCCCTGCTCTAATTACTGTACAACATATGAATAAACTATTATTAGTGTACCGGTATTGTCGATTGCTTTAAATTAGTCTGAACGGAGTGCAACACTGAGACAATCTCGCTATCCGAGGAGTTATATGATTTCGTAAAATGACAATAACGGTACCGTTACCAATCAGGCTACTAAAATACTTCGCGATTCAACTTCACCTTATTTGACCACAATGAAAACGTTTTTCCAACGAGACAGAGCACCAGCTTTCAAATGGACGACTGAACCGGCGAAGGATGCGAGAGATGGTTTATATACTGAACTGCAAACCGGCTGATTAAATAAAAGAAACAAAGGAGAATGCGTCGACGCACGAACGACGAGAGAGAACGAGAAGAGACTAATATTTGTCGCTCCAAATAACTGGTGAAAGAAAGTAAACAATCGAACGTTCTATCTTTATTGTCTGTACTTTTCCGAATTGAGACCTGAAACTCTTCTCGACGTACCTGCGTTGACAAGAGTATCTTAATGTTTTGGACTCTGCTTTTCGGCAAGATTCATCGTGTCCAGCGTTCAAACAAAAACAGGAGCGTTTTAGGTGTTTCGAATTTGCACACTTGTAGCACGAGAGCGATACAGAAGTAATTAAGACGTGCTGAAAGCGCTCGACCAAGTTTGGCCATTAAAACTAAATTTCTAGTTTTCAACATAATTGAAACCAAATATGATAAATGGATATAAAAAAGTGAACTCGTCTTTATTTTGTGACCAGTGGATCAGACATAAATAATATCGCCCACTATCTCATTTTGTCAGTATATAGCATGGTGGAACAAGTTGGTCGCCTTCTGTACATCACGTCACCGCTCGATGAATCGAGTTGGTGGTTTGGAAATAGCAACTAAACAGAATGTCAATATCTCAGCTGTACGTGCGCTTGTGCGTTTCTCAAGCCCGCGATCGAGTTCAACTTCGTTGTGTTTTTTCCAAAACTGAATCATATCGCGTATCAACATGTTTTTATTCAATGAAACGTGACTTCAGGAGCAATTTATCAAACTTAATTAGAAAACAGGATTTTCTTGCCAACACCCGAGTTGCAAAGAGCAGGTTATATTTTTATCTTTCAATACCAAAGGATATTTGAGTGCTTCAGCGTCGGTAGAATAAAAATATCCGATCGGGGTGCAAAAACCCTATGTTGTTTCAAAAAGCCAATTCATTAACAATAGAACGCTAGTAGTTTTCACGTAATGGGCGATATATGCTGAGGAGCGATAAAAATAACTACAGGTAGGCAATCTGAAGCAAGAAAATACGATGCATAGCGAGAAATCACACTGCGGGTGACATTTCAAAATAGAAAACGATATCAGCACGCTATCGCTTTAAGGTTAGCGATATCCAGCATTTCCACATCTTTTATCTCAACTTCCCCTCACATGAAAGGCGCTAACGCGATAAAAGTAACGGAAATGATTCCGAAAAAACTATTCTATTTTATCGTGTATAAGATTCCTCCGCAAGTGCGAAATATCGAAGGGAGTTTTATATAACCACAAATTCTTCGACTTTTCAAGTCGGCCTGTGAAAACACGTTTTTGCTCAAAAATAAAACTATTAACTTTACAGTTTTCCTAAACTTATCCAGCTCTGCTCATGTGACTCAAGAATGTGCTTCACCATACTTAAATTATAACTCCCGGATACGTGCATAGATCCTCGCCAGCCATCTATTTAGACGGAAAACCACAAGCAACTTGACAGAGCAAAGTTATAAATTACTAGAATTTTATTAAATATTCGGAAATACACAATACCCAATGGCATAAAAATGAAATAGTTGTTGAAGTCCAGGCCACAATTTAACTCCAGTTCACGCACAAATACAATTATTTATTTTTGTTAAATTTTATATGTTGAAGTTGAGTTTCCACAAAATGACAACGTAATTAACACGAAGTTTTTCTCACAACTAGAGCAAGATACAAACCAGTTTGAAATATCCCTAGCATTCATTCGCCTTGAAAACCGTTCGCAATATATGATTGTTTTCAATATTTTCCAACTTCATTAATACAAAGTGTATTCGCTTAACGCTCATTACACAATTCAATTTCATTTTTAAACATGATTGTACATTTTTAAATGTGGCACTTGATTTGAAACTAGTTCAATATTCAGTACCGGAATTCAACTAACGAGTGGAACTGGACACAGCTGGCAACGCTTTTAATGCATGTTTGGCCAGCAAAATGTTTGGTTATTATGCACCAACTATCAGTTATAATAATTGATTTTGTGCCAGCGGGGTCCTCGTAGCGGGCTCTGAAATTGGTAGACGAGATGGAATGAGCAATTTCCGGATATGATGTTATCAGCATAGACAATGTCTTGCTATATAAATTCGTCTTCGTTATGATCACGACGACATTACCAAAATGGGCACCTAATTAGGAGAAAGAAATATACGGATTAGCTGACTGTTGATATGTTTAATTCCATTTCAAACGGTTACGCCCTTGCATCACTATTGATGAAAATGTCATAGTCGGATAAATTATTTCGTTTCGTTTTTCAAAATTTTCTGAATCGAAGTTTTACGTTGGTACATGGTAAATGCACAAGTGCATAAACTAGGAACCATACGATTGATTTTATCGGTATTTTAGCTCATTTTTATTTTCAAACGTAATGAAAAATGATACTACTGAAAAAAATAACGAAATAAAAAGCAGTTACCATCCGATATAACACTGACACAAATTTTCATGAGACGTAGCTTGCTGTATCAAAAGTTCAACCTGCGTTGGTACATCCAAAGAAGAAACCTCGTTTGCAAAATCACAACCTAAACAGTGGAGTTGAAACATTTATGCATATTCATGACTTGTGGACTTTTCGTTTCAGGCGCTTTGAAATATAAAATCATTTGTGAAATATCTTGGTTTCTTGCAAGAGTATAGAGAAAAGATTTAAGATATTTAAAAAACAATACGAAATATAACATAAATTTTGACATATTTCTCGATTTTGGTCTTACCACTCCCACCTGGTATAAGAATTACACGGTAAGGCGCGATTGAGGTACGGACAGGTCATTGAATATGAAATCACGGATACAATAGCGAAACAACTTCATTTGGACCTTTTTGGTATACAGCTGACCGACCAGCTGATATTTGTATCCGTTTTCGCGTCCAATGACGATCGTAATTTACCACAGTAGATCAATGATAATTCAAACGAATGGTTCATCATGTTCTGTAATCGATACCAGAGTACTGATCGGTCATTAGGCGGTTCCATTGAAAATTGAAACGCCGGCGTTCAGGGGCAAAATGTATAATTGACTGAAGTCCGCTGGCGTCGCATTGTAAAGTTATATAACGGACAAGAAGGGGCCATTTATAAATTGTACTGAAAAGCGCATTACAGTGTGTGCCGATGCTCGAACATCCTGAAATCGATGTCTGAGAGAAAGTTCGATAGCAGTTTGCCAGATGCGAACGGACGACGCGAAATCGACGAACACAAGTAAGAGAATAAGAGAAAGAAAGAAATCTCACTCGCTCCTAGGAGGAGCGAAAGATGCGACGATTAGCAGCGAGCTGGGTCGAGCGAGTGCGCAGCAAACAAACGGCGTCTGCGTAATATTATTCTGCTGAGCTGAGGAGTTGTTTCGTCAGCACTTGAAGTTTGACGTTTTCAGTGCTCATAAACTTTGCAACATCGGTTTGATAAGACTGAAAAGACGCACGTTTGTAAGCAACAGTCCACAAAAATATACCCGCCGAACATCGTTAACTCGCACCAATCTACATTATAAGAGAAAAACACACCACGAGACCCCAGAATCGCAATATCGCAGAAGGTTATGTTAATACAACATATAAAATCAATATTTTCAAGCAAATTCAAGTCTTACCAGTTAATTTGTCTCGTACTCGGTTAATTATAGCGACAGCTTTTTTGTTCAAGACTTCAGGAATCACCGTTTCGCCTTCACTCCCTTAAAATATAGGTTTATAAATTATATGCCTAATGAAAATTCTACGTGAGATTTAGCATTATATTCAATCAATTCACCTGAAATCTTTGGAGGATGTTCAAACATCTGTTCGTGTTGACGAATGTCACCGGCACCGTTCATTCCGTTGGGAACCATATTGTCGGTTTGTTGCGCTGCCGGAACATCGGCAACTCGCCCATTCTTTTCTCCGACATCTAAAAGACGATATTGAATGAAAGAAGTAGATAGAAACGGGATTGTAAGCAACATAGAAAGAAAACTTCTGAACGTATTAGTGACGAGCCCCGTATCGTGTTGATTATGTCGTAATTCAAACAAGTAATTGGTATAGGTAGATGACCCAATAAAAATCTCGAATTTTCCAAAGATGCCAAACTCAGTACAGACAAACTGTCGCCAAAAGCCCAATATATACTAGGGAAAATATTGCTACTTTGTCAACAAAAAAAAAACACGCAGTGGGAACCATCAATATCACGGGGCAGTGCATGTTAACAGTCGGCCCAAAAATTGTTTCAAGTAGAAAAGAAAAAAATCATCATATCTACTTGCAAATTTGCAACGACACGCATAAATGTCGAAAATTATCGACTGAAATTCCATTCCATATAAAAGTGCATACCGTGCAGAAACAGCGGAAACGAATCTTAATATACTAAATTTATTTGAGGCGGGCTGATAAACTATCGCGTCATAGACTCATTATATCGAAACCGCATCGCAGACTAATTTTAGCATTGATAATATTCATAAACGTAGCAAATCAAACAAGGAGGCATTTATTTATGCGTTACTTCTATATTGATGATAAAGCGTCAGAAATTTTATTGAATTTATTCGTAAATGTTTATTCATTTTTATTAGGAATTCTTGCTACCGAAAAAAAAACGTCAATCATAAATGTAATTGAATAGTCGATTTCGGCCAGAACCTCATTCCTTTAGTAATTTCACCCAGTTTAAATGATTGAGTTTGTTGTTCATATCGAATGATTGCGATATACCATTAAATTGAGATTACTTTCCTAAAATTTTGTGAATTTGAATTTTACACAGAAAAGAATTCAGACCACGTCGGCAAGATAGATTTATTACGAGAAAGATAGCATGCAAATGTCATAGCACGTCATAGATATGTTTTGGGAGTAAAATATGGAAATTTCTAGATAAGAAATCTACGTTAATACTTTATCTAAATCAGTGTTCATAATTAACACTTACTTTCCACAAGTCTCCAGTTCAACAGAGGATCATACACGAAAGCCTCTAATACCGTCATTACGCTTTCTCGGTGCTGACGCAGCACGGACATAACGACGTGACATGTGTTTCGATAGTTTCCCTCTATTCCAGTAACCTGTAAAAAAAAATTCAGTATGAAGGAATGGTTCGTTGTCGATCTCGGACGGATATAACTCCCAATACAAATATTACGGCTATATAGGACATTACACAAAAATATCAATGAATGCTTTCGGAATTCTTCTCACTTCCCCTTACTTCCCAATAGGGAATCAGATGTCATCCCACCAATTAATTTTTTCGGACTATAATTATCACCTTTTATGCATTGTGAGTTGTGACTAACCAGTGAAATCAAATTTACCACTTGAAATTTCGCACAAATAGCATGATTTTAGTTTAAAATGAATATAGAATATCGGAAAACTATCTAGGTGTTATTTATATCAGTCTTCCTTTACATGACTCGTTTTGAGAAACAAATTTTACATTATAAATTGCAAAAAATACTCGGAGGATTATACAATGCCCAGCCAAGTTACCTCAATGACGGAACGATGTAAAATAAGTATCATGCTTGGTACAATACAAAATTGATAATTAACTGAAAATGGGCCGAAGAATTGAAAACAGTCATTAAAGCACTATTTGTTTGAACGATCTATGTCAGCTTATTTCTAATTAGTAATATTTTGGTCAATTCTCCGACATCACGTGATTAACAAAATAATAGAAACCATTCATGTAATATGCAAAACGCCAGATGTTTGTACGATGTCGACATAAGAATGGCGGACACCATCTCTATAATCTGTCAATACCCGGAATTTCGTTGGATAATTCTGGATGAGTGATAAATCTTCGAGAAACGGAAATTTGAAATTTCTGATCATGCTTTTTTGATATATACGTAAATCGATCAGAGATCGAACAAATATGACTGAAAATCGAAATTTTGTAGTTGTGGCGCGAGCGCTGTTGTGAGGAATATTAGAAGATAAATCTTGAATTGCATTTGGTATTAATGAAATCTGGTAATAAATAATCACTCAGCACCGACTCATTTGCGTCAGAAATATCCACATAGAGGTATGCAGCAATATCGCATAGCTTCTCTATTCGTCAAAACAACAACATCGGGAGGGTTATTGACGACTAAACCCGATCGAACCGCATCAGCGTCGAGCAGATTTAATGATGGCGGAGACCGACCGGCAAATTGCGATCGATGGTCGTAAAGCCGTAATTGACGGCGGTAGGATTTCGCAATACCGAAGCAATCAGTTATGTATTTGTCTATTGGGCCATGTATGTCACACATAACAGCAGGATACTACACTTTCACTGAATGCCTGATACTGCTATACCCGACAGAAATAACTTTCATTTCAGTTGATTTCATACAAGGACCATACATAAATTGAAGAAAATTGTATATCTCGTTGTTCTTGGCGAAATAATAATGACTATCAATTAGGCGCAGGGCATACGATAGAAATTGTGATTTATAAGTTGGGATGTCAGGATTTGAAATTTGACAAAATGGAAAATCAATTTTGGTGATATGATAAATGGTGGAAAATACCATAGAAAAGGGTTGGCAAGGTTTTTGAACCATGGGCTAACAATTTTGCCCACCAATCTGGCGGGCCATGTAAGTGTGACGTAAAAAGTTACATTTTATGGACAATATTTACAGTGTTACAAAGCAAAAGTGGAAAACAATATGCCTCGTGCGAAAACTAAATTAACCCGCGATCTCAACAAATTCCTTGAGCTATTTTTAGCTAAAACATCAAAATTTGGGTTCAGTTTGGTTGTAGCAGCATAAGTCGGGCCAGATTGAATTACCCAACAGGTCGGATTTGGCCCGCGGGCTGTTCTTTGCCCCTGTCTGCTATGAATGCTTGAACAAAACAGGACATACCTGGTCGTGAGACCAACATAGTACTGTATACTTATGACTCCAGAAATAGATTATTATTGACAAGTACGTCCAATGACTTAATGCCAGTAATAACGTTAGTATTTGTATCACAAAATTATCAATAGAATCTCCATCTCGACAATAAAGAATCAAAAATGTTCTCACCTCCATAGCGTTTGTTAACATTCTTGTCAATCTGAAAGGAATTTTCTCTGGGAACTTTTCTCTCGCCATAGCAACCTAGGTGAAAAATACATTTATTTGCTTGCTTTGCATTTTTTTTTTCGTCCAAACATAAGTATTAATAGTCTTACACACCTCAAAACAATCTCCAAAATCAATGTGAAGTACTTTTCCGCTAACCCGATCCAACATCAAATTACTGGGATGACGATCACCGAGCCCAAGTACGTGACCTACCATTGACATGACTGCCAATGACCGAGTGTAATTCGTTCGTCTGTCGAACCATATCTGGAATGAACATTTGTATATATTTTCATATAATTTTTGTTTGAAGTGACTTGACTAGTGCTGATGAGTGGTGACGCAAGGTTTCGAAATAAAAAGCTTGTTGTTTGGCTCGTTGCACATGGATATTGAGGCAATTTAAATTGGTATGGACGTTCCAAGAAACAAAGGGAGATTTAATACTTGATCTTCGCGAGAAATGTTTTGACAGGGATGTCTTACGAACTCCATATTATCAGCAAATAGCACACTTTACCCTAATTGTTTTGGCTTTTTATTTCACTTAATGCTGCTTCAAGTAGGTGATAGCTGACCAATGACCCATACTATAAGTGGACAAGTACTCGTTGTCTGCAAAGCGATAGGACAAGCGATGTTATAGAAATTAGAGCCATGTTGTTGAAAAGACGAACAGTGATAAATTCAATGAAAATCGGACCAAAAAAACTAAAATCGAGTTAACCATATAGTGGTGCCTACAGCCGCATGTTCTGTGTATCGCATATACCGGTATTTATAGCTCATATGATTAGCATAGCATCGATAAATTTTGCGCAATATTGGACTACTGAGAAAAATAGATTGCAGCCTGAGATTTGTAAACCCACAAAGACGGTTGTCGATTTAACTAGCATGAAGGTCCTAAAAATATCTACACACCTATTTTACTATTATATATGTCTTGTTGCACACTGTTGTCAACTATGACTATTTTACTCGTCATCAAATTTTTTTTTTATTTATAAAATATAAATAGTTAGGTATGGGTTTGCTTTCCTCGCTGGAATTTATAAACACAAGGTAAGGTACAAGATTGGTGAGTATCATCGTCGCCGATGTTATCTGTTAATTGGTCATTTTGCCCGATTGTTTATAAAAATTGCGAAATTTGAACCGCATTCAAACCATCGCACCAATTATGAAAGAACTACTTAGACGATGATTACCGGATGTCGTTCGCATAATTATTGAAAAACCATAACCTACTTTTCAATGTGTTTTAATTAGTTATGTGTATTTAGTGATATTAAATTGGGTCGAAAGACAGACGTGTTCACGCATGATCTCTACCATAAATCGCACTTTTATGCGCTATTTGTAGCTGGCCTGTGCATTATCCGTTGCTGGTAACTGGGCGTGGAAAATGAGCGTTTAATTTGCGATTTGCATGTGTTTTGTTTGAGAGACCTACTTCTCCGTTTGACGACGCTAACGCTGTTTATTTTTCCGTCGACGACGTCGCTGACCACGTAAGTCGTAACGGTAGATACGTCACAAGCATCCCGCATGGTCAGGCGAAAAAAAGTTTTATTCCGCAAAAACACAGAAATAGGGCGGAATATTATAGATTTGCATGAATAACTTGCAAATATATAAGACAAACCATGCGCGGTTAATTGCTTCAAAAAAAGAGAAAAAACATTGAAGAAATACCTCAGAACTTGGACTTTTCAGCCACAGTAATTTCGCAAGATCGTCGCCTGCAGTATTGTTGACGGCATGCTCAAACACTTCGACTTTTTGCATTAACGTCAGATGATCGTAGTCAGGAGCCATCTGAACAAAAAGGCAAAATAACATCGTCACACTCAATCCACCGCCTTCTATTTTGTGCACCGAAACCCCCCATAAACTGTACATATATTGACGTAAAAGAGCGACGTATACTAAATTTAGTCAAAATTCCACTGAGAAAAATGGATTTTCCTGTATGATTTCCTTCAAGCAATACCATAATCAAAAAAAGGCCACAAACCCGCAACATAATCCTGTGCTCAATGTTAATTAAGATCTTCTTCTTATCTCGGTAATCACGAATAAGAGCGTGTAATGTGTCGCAATGTGGAACCCATCCTATAAGTCCTGAGTTTGTTGATAACGGTATGACAGCGTAACGTTGAATGCTGAAAAATTTTAAAACAATTTTACGTCATAGATCATGAGATATCAACATGATTTATGCTACCGTAAACCGAGTACATGTAACTTACGTACATAACTTTCATAAAAGGGTACGCGAATACAAATTTACTCAAAATCCGTCTTTAGGCGTCAATAAGTGAACTAGTTAAAGTGTATAATTCAATAGTACCAGTACAACCAAAAATGTAATAACGCGAAAAAATGGGACATTCAATGAATATGCGCATATCCACAATCAAGGCCAAATTGTCAAGAACATACCGAATCAGTATTTTAGCCAGCCAACAAAATCGATTCCAATTTGCATTGCAAAACGCACGTAATCATTTCAAGCTATCCCACCACACTCGTCAATGTTATATTATCCGCCGTTGTTGAAACATGCGATTGAAGTTTTGTGAGAATGCTGACGTTTTATGAATTTCCGCGAACGACATTGGCACGTCAGCAATACGAGAACATTGATTATGACAGTCTGAGTCACATTTGATAGTCTGTACTGTTGTTTATCTTATAAACATGAACTTACATCTTAATATATTGTGAGATTATATATATTTCCTATCTTGAATTAACTGAAAACCTGGTGGTCTAAGATCACGTGATTGTCAGAGATCCCTAAACTAACCAAACGTCGCTCAATTTACACATGGCCGGTAAATTAGGATTGCGAATGACCTTGTGACATATTTCAGTAGAGGTGTGAAGATGTGTCGCCGGTTCTCGACGAATCAGACTAAAAAGGTACACGTGACTACGGCGAGATTGTGCCTTGAAGCTAAACATGTGACTTGTTACATGTAGGTGAATGAAATCATGAAAGCGCTCATTAATCATAAAAAGGAAATAACAGTTTACTTTATAATAAGGAGAATCGAAATGAAAATAACGAAAACGCAAGAATCGACCTCAATTTTTAATGTTTATATCACAAGATGAGCAATAAATTAAGATTCCTATATTTAGCGTATGGCGTATGCGATGTAACATATTTGGTAACGTGATGGCAGATTGACAATTTTCGTATCAATTTCTCCAAAATCCTCCCCCCCCTCCCTACAAAAAAATAAACACTTCAGGTGTTTAGAGATAAGAAAGTACTTTACACATACTGAAAGTAAAAAACTCATGTTTATTAATTATATCCAAAACAAGCTGTTCATACAGTCGGTTTCAAAATTTGCCCGATAATTAGGCATAACAAACTCGCAGTATATCGATTCTCCGAATATTACACACACCCTCTTTTTTTACAATAAGCTGATTCGAATCCAAATTCCACAACAGGAAATGTGCGAAAGATATTCGAGTCTTAGCGATCATAGATATACATGGTAGCCACTAACGCGTGAGATTATGAATCTATGCTGCCTCCTAGTGTTACAAAAACGATATTGGAGCCCGTCGCCGCCAACAAGATGCATTTTCATTTTTTTGAATGAATCTATACATCAATATCTTACATCTATAAAACTATTATTAGCGTCATGAAAAACTGTCACCAGTCACCACGAATTCTGAAATCAAAAATATTCTACAATAATGGTTCACTATGACACAATTCAAATAACCTGCTTTGTTGGAAAAAAGCTTACGGCAATATCCTGCACATATGTACAAAAATCGGAAAATTGTAAACCTGAGATTTTTTCTGCTCGAAGTACGATCAGTAGCAAGTAAAGTATTAACAAGACCAAACAACTGCATAACACGTTCATCCTGTCGAAGATCTTCATGTCCTTTCAGTAAGAATGTATATTCTTTACCATTGCTTCCTGAAAACGAACAATATGTTATGGGATAAGATTTTTCTATTTATACTGTGGAGGAGGGAAAGCCGATAAGACAGCTTTATCATATGGCGAAACGTGGCCTCTCGGCCAGATACCAATCCAAGTCGGATATGGGAATAGTGAACCAGACATTGGTTTAGATCAGGGGTGGGCAAGGTTTTTGCACCAGGGGCCAAAATTTTGCCCATCTAGATTGGCGAGCCATGTAAGTGTGAAGTAAAGAGTTATATTCTATGAACAATATCTACAGGGTTACAAAACAAAAGTGGAAAACAATAAGCCTTGTGCCCAAACTAAATTTAATCACAATCTCAACAAATTTTTCGACGCTTTCAGCTAAAACATCATAATTTGGTTTTAGTTTGGTTATGGCAGCATCAGGCGGGTTAGATTGAACTACCCAACAGGCCGAATTTGGGGGTCGTAGTTTGCCCATGTCACGTTTAGATGCATGGACCACCATACAGCAGCGAGGAATGCAGTAATCTTCTCAAACATAATTATCTACCACAAGATCCAAACCTTGCGAATTCACACAGGGTAATCAGAGATGCAATGGCAAGTGTCTTCCTGAAGTATCAACATGCTAAGCATTATTACACTCCTGTCATCACACCACAAGATACGCTGTATGTGGAAGTATTGCTGGTATACTATTTGTCACAGAATGGTTTCCCAAAACAATTACCTATAATGGCTCTTTATCTGGGTCAAACATAAAAAATTTATTAAAAACGTTGCATATTACAAAATTTTCTTCCAAAATTCACCTAATATGCAGAGCTTTCTTGGCCTTTGCTTTGATGTGATCACTTGTAACGTAGAGTTGATAGATTTGATTCTGACAACACTTTGCCTAGGATTATATGTTCCTGGTACGGCAAGTTCAAGATCATTGCAAATCATCAACTTTGGAGAAACATATTGCAACTCTAAGGTGGTAAGCTGGAAAAACAAAAGATAAAATATAGGTATATAGATTGTACTTTGTCATAACTTGATGACCTTTAAACTTTTGATGGTTCATTTCTAAATGAACGATTTGCAATTGATTAAAATGACATTTTTCATTCTGGAACTGTCGTTGGTAGACCATTCCACTTGGTGCGAAAGCAAATACAAACTTGGCTTTTTCTGGACCTTCAATTCCTTACTATAGTATACAAGAAATTATTTGGATTAGATCGAGGTTAGTCATTCAACCTAAGATATGATAGAATTTTGGCTAGGCACAATATAATACCATGAACTAATGATATAGTACACATGCTAATCTCAACCGAGTTTCTACAGCCTGCCATGGAAACATGGTTTAGTTCCCTTGCCGTTAGCGATGAACATAACATAACACACAATCAAAAATAAAATCAATTACAAAATAGCTATTGACGGCAACAGAATATGAAAATAACTTGTCTTATTATCTAGTTTTTTTCATACAAGCTTTTAAGATCATAATTTGCGGGCTTCATTAACCCAAAAGTGTGAAACTTAATAAAGCTGTAAATAAATGACAAAAACATATATTTTTAATTTTTGAACTATAAATTTTGATTAAAATACTTTTGAGGAATATTACTTCACACCATAATGAGATACCAACCTGAAGAGCACCCAGCTATTTCTTTGAATTATTTTTTTAAATTTTGACGTTCGTCCTATTGTCTCGAAAAATGATACATACTTGTGGCAGTTGTTTTGTAATTCTTCTGAATACATGATAATATAGATCCCACGCTTGATTTAAATCCTTTATATTATTTGATAATGTATATTTTCTACACCAATCTTGCGCTTCAAGAAGATCTCGACCATATGCCTGAAAAAATAAACGAGTAATATACTTAGTGCCAAAATATAAATGCTAAACTTATACGCATTTAAGCAAAACTATATTATTGGCCAGAAGCCTTCAGAAAAAGAGATTTCAATTTGTTGTTGGATGTTACACGCTGAAGATCTCTGCAATGAGGAAATATTTGAGAGATTGCTCGGACTTACAGACTTCATGTACGGTAATTCTAGGCAATTTATTGATTACTCAAAAATGACCTCAACGAGGATATTTGGTAATTTGCTTGTACAAACATGATCCAAATAAAAGTATTTCATGGATTAAATTTTATTCTCAGTAAGCACTATAATCTGGGAAGTTGTATATCCTTTGTTTCATTGAGCTGTAAGAAGGGAATGCTTCTACTCAGAACAGAGCACTGCTGAGTTAACAAGGGCTGAGCTTTTATCTTCAGCCTTGTATCAATGTGGTACCCACTACCTAATCCAATAATTTTAATAGGAACTGTTGTTTCAGAGTTTTTGACACAAAAAATTCAGAAATAGCTGCTATTGACATCTTATATACTTTTGATTTAAAAATGACATTATCATGGATATCAATAATAAATAGCAATTTATGATGTGTGCATTCTCATTTATTATAATCACAATAAAATGTTCGAAGGCTCCGAGCAATCCCAAAACATATGGATATCAGATGGCAATATCCTGTTACTCAGAAGTGCAAGTGATAATGCAGCACATTGATACAATAGTCTAATGAGTAATTTGGCAATTCCCTATTTCTTCTATCCATACTATGAATCACATGCTGTATATTTCAAGAAAGGTGTAGTATTCAAAGTTGTTAGCGAATGACAGGAGTTTTCATAGGAAGGTTGCAACAGCGGTTAGACGATAGAAATAACCTATTAACCTGTCTTAGCCAAATTGGGAAATTTACACAAAAAAATTTTATTCCAAAAAATAAGTGTTGCATAAAAGAATCAAGTGACATAGACAGGTGAAAACAATTTTCTTAATGGGACATCTGAACAAAAATTTTCTTCAAAAGACTGTACACCAGTAAAAAATAACTAGATTTGAGAGTTTTTGTACTTGTATTGTCAAGAGTCAACAAATAAGGGGTTTAACACGCTATAAATATATACACTGGAAAGAATCAGACTAGATTACAAAAGGGATCAAACTAGAATGAATGTATTTTAATTTGCAATATGCCTCTTAAAAGTTAAGTAAAACTATAACGTATAGTGTTCAACTGTTCAGTACATATTGTATACAATGCAACTATAACGCATTTAGATAATGTTATCAAAATACTAGTGCATTTTTGGATAGTAAATAGGAAGCAGTAAATTTCCGCCAAACATAGGTCAGTGTTTGCGTAACTCCTCCACCTACACCTTTTCGAGGAGGGGAGACTATTTTGATTTCACAAAATCAGGAGATAGACAACCCTATAGTTACGTTGTCAGTACAACCAAGTTTGTTTAAAGTAATTTCTAGGGATTGCAAGTAACAATGGCAAATTCATTGATTAAAGAGTTAGTAAGGTATGCTAAGTATTGAATCAACGCAAGAAAATACAGCGAGGTAGAAAGCATTTCTATAAAACAAAAGTTTTTAAAAAAAAACTGTTCACACAAAAATTCGCACATTCAAACTAGTCGTATTAAGAATATCAATCTCTTTTTCCATGAACTGGCAGGTATATTAGATCATTGTCTAACCTTTTTTCATACAAAACAAGACATCACTTGATCAAACAGAGAATTCGACATCTCTATGAATTTGACAATATTCCTGTTCCTATGTGAAAATAGATTATGTTGTTCTTATTTATTTCTATCTTGTTCAAGCAACCTTGTGGACACAGATCAGAAGTAGACAAAGAAAAAGGATTTCCAATTAAAATACACAACACCCTAGTATTCCCTGTGATAGCCATATTAGTCTTCATAAAATATGTGGTAATGAGAAAAATCAATATAAACTATTTATTGATATCCAGCAAAAAAGGATTTGAATTCTTTGTTATATTCACAGGTCTATCAATCTTTTATTTTAAAATCGCTTTGACACATTATATTCATATACCGATATTTATTTTGTAAGAAATGGAATCCCAAAGTTTGATAAATCGAAGGGCACCTCATGAAAGATGGAAAAAAACAAAAGCAGAATTCGTTGACATGACAACACTACATGGTTTGAGAAGAGCAGGTGACCAAACTGGTCAGATATCTACATTACGAAGATATATTTGGGCATTTTTTATAGCAATTGGACTTGGTGCTATTATTGTAATAACATTTGATCAGGTATGTACTTAGTTAGGCAAAGAATGTACCGGTAATAAGGAATCTTGATATTGAATGTGAGATACCATGGATGATTAATAATAAATTAGACCACAGTTAAGAAACCTGAGACTTACCGCAGGTTATATATTGAACTGGCAAGCACTGATATTGGGCAAGAAAATTTTCAAATTTTTTTTAAAAACAGAAAAGCAGTATCATGAAGTCTCCAACATTGATATTTGTCAGTTTATCCTATATTTCTTACCATTCATACATTTAACGGTACTCCAGTAGTGTGTGTACCAGATTAGGGTTAGGCCATAATTTTATTCCGATTTTCCTTATTTTAGTTCTATTACGAGTTCGTGGACTGTCTGTGTTAGCCAAGTGAATATACCCTCATAGCCCATAGCTTTCAGTCCTTTTACAAAACTTGATGTGAAAGAGGCGAACAAATTTAGTTACCTTCATATTGGTACACACACTTCTGGAGCGCTCATTCAACTAACCTCATTTTATATTACGACCAAATCAAACACTAGTACATCAATGCGTAGCCAATATAAAGCCCTTTACCATTAAATCTGAGTTAGTTGTTACAATTTCAGATAAGAAACTACTGGAGACATCCAACTACAACCAAAACAACAATCATGTATACACAAGAACCTTTAGCATTTCCAGCTGTAACAATATGCAGTTTGAATAGATTTTATGATTATGATAACAGTGTTACAAAAGAAGATTTATTAACAATAGATGCATATGACATTGCAGAATTATCTTTTTCTCACGTAAGTTAAGCTAGGAAAGTGTATTAACATTTGATAACCTTCGATCATTCATTAACATTCAATAATCTTTAATCATTCCAATCAGACCCATCGGAATTTGTATCAAAATTTCTTGACTGTATATTAATTCTCTGAACATCGAAAATTATTCCAATGACATGATTTATTGATCTGCCCTAGGTAATGGTGCAACGTGTCATCACCAAAATATGCAGATTTTATGTACCGTTAGAAGTAAGAAACATTCAAGTAACTCCCAAAAGATGCACTCTGAATGGTTCTCATTGAATTAGCACTAAAAATTGTTTTTCAAAGATTTGAATTTCAATTTGCTATCAAACCTTTAACTAAGGTAATAGTAATCTAGTTGATCATTGATATTTAAAGTTAACAATGCATTGTGATTATAGGATATTCCGTTTGGTGCTTTGGCTGAAGAATTTTTAAATAAGATAACCAAAGGGATGAATTCGACAGAAAAAAAAACATTTTTTGAAAATTTCACCAATTGTGATCGTTCGATTATAAACAGAATAGAAAATGGAAAAGGGTAGGTAGAAGTGTTAAAAACTTTCCTTGAAAATAACATTTGGTTCAATGTACAATAATATAAATGTTTCACATCTTTTCAGCAAGCAAAGGCTGAAGGCATTACTTCACATCAACTGCACAAAGAAACATGAAAAACCAGTAAGAAGTTTCATTTTTTTTTATTTCATAAAAAGGTCATATCGTCATGAATTATCCATAAAAATGGGAATTTTGTTGTGAGAAGCTTTTTTGCTTACAATTCTCAACAAAACATGAAGTAACCGAATATATCCTTGAAATATTCACATAATTTTGTTTATATGCCAAAATATAGCAATAATACCGATTTTTTCATATTGGGAGTTGAGATGTTTATTGGTGTACATTTTTATCAAAATCAACAGAATTATGAACTACCGTAAGTTCTCAAGTTGTTGCAGCAATAATTCAACAACATCAGAAAAAAATAGACTGTACAAAATGAATTATCTTTTCCTTGGTATAAATATCATAAATGATTCTTTTTACAAACCACATTATCATTTATTTTTTGAAGGAAGATATGAAGAGGATCTTTAAAAAATATGGATTCAACATTTCGTTATCATTAGTCAGTTGCAAATTTGGAAATGGACGAACTAGACAATGTTCTGCAGATGATTTTGATCCGGTGTACAGGTGGGAACTCTTATCATTGAGCTTTATGACCAAGGAACATTTGCTAATGTTTTTTTATTGTTGCCTTGAGAACATCGCTTCTCTTCCAACTAATGAACCAATCAATTTTAATATCTCAGTACCTAAAGGTGGTCGAAGTCGCTAGAGAGATATTACTGTACCTAAATTTTATTTTTCAATTTTCTATCGTTCCTACGGGAACACTTTTTATAAAATTTGAATGCACTTTATTTCGGCTGGATTGGCATCTTTTTGTTGAGACACACAGCTTTATTCATTGCTTCAAATCTTTTCCACAGCACAAAGTATGGACTATGTTGGACATTTAACCGAGAAAAAAAGAATTATGCAATTTGGCAACAAACTCATGGTGGTATTCCAGGAGGATTAAGAATGGAAATCATAAATCCACAGAGACTGTTTTTAACAAGAAAAATACAAACTGCTCCATTGGGTGCTGGACTGAAGGTAATTTGTATAAATACCGGTATGTAAATTTTATCTTAAACTAACATACATATATATATATATATATCGATTTTTCAAAATATAGCTATCAATGAGTTTGTAGGAAAGCACAAAAAATGAAAAGATGAAGAATAAAAATTGGTTCATGTATAAGACTTCATTGACTCGCAGTAAATTGTGCAATTGTGATTAATAAATTACTGTGACAAACTGTCAAAGCCATACTTAGAGATTCAGGAGAGAAAAGAATAATTGAATTATTGAGATGATCATGTTTAACTAATTTTGTTGGTTGTCACAATATGAAACCCAATTTGACAATGCTTTTTGAATTTCTGTGAATAATAAATTCAACACAGTTAGTTAAATTAGATTATAAAAACAACAGATCACACTTCATCATCCAAATGAACCAGCCGATGTTGATGGATCTGGATTTTTTGTTGGACCTGGATTTCATTCATTTGCTGAAGTAGGTAGGACAAAAAGCTTTTTATAATAAAATAGAGATTGATCAGTTATCTGAGTACAAGTGCAATTAATATTATCTGACTTTTTTTATGAGTATTTATGGACATTGATCTCATTAATTTTTTTTGAAGAGTTGACGAGAGAAGAATATGTGAAACCACCCTGGGGCCATTGTGTTCATGAGAAAGATAGAGATTACACAAAAACAGAAGCAGAACAGAGATGCTATCAAAATTTAAGTAAAAAGCACTGCAGATGCACTCCACCATCATATATAGGTAATGTATCATGTCTGAGGCAGAATATTTCAAATGAGTTATAACTGATTGAATACTACATGAAAAGTTTCATCATTAAGTGTAGGTTATTGCAAGCAAAATATTGAAATATAAATATCAAAATATTATACACATATTTTCATTAATTAATGAAAAAATGCTCCCAAACGGTTTTAATTTTAGGAGTTTGCAGAAGGATACAAATTTAAGACCTAACTTTGGAAGTAAATGATAGAATAAGAATTTATTTATACTGCTAAGATGAAAAAGAATTAGTAGGCTGAATCATGTAGAAAGCCAAGGCCTTCCAGGCTTCCATAATTTTAAATGAAATGGCGAAAATGTATTTACATCTGATAGCGATATCCAGGACAGCACTATTTAATTATGAATAAAATTGCAATACCAAATCTGTTTTCAGTTGACAAATCCAACAACATATGCAATGGATCATCTCTCGCATTATGCATGTATGATGTAAAATGGATGCCAGACACAAGTATGGGACAATTATTGTATTGATTTCAAATCAATGATTTCCATGTGTCACAAATACTTTTTCAATAATAATTGCTATTAAAAATGTTTTTACGATAAACAAAACAGCTTTTAAAGTTAAAACGAAATCAAAAAGAAAAACAACCAATAAATCATCTATTGTGTTTCAATTTGACAAGGATAGGATACCAAACTAGTCAGATATAGGCTTCTCTGTACTTGTGAAAATACTGACAAAATATTTTAAACTGATAGTTTCAACTTTATCTAATTATCTATTATCACATATCGAATTATAGATATGAACATATCAAACAACATCAATACGGAGGTGATTACAAAATCTTGGCAAAAATGTAGTCAACAACCATCATGCAAAGCATCAAAGTATAAGACAGCATTATCAAGTGTGGTATGGCCTAGTTTGCCTGATGTTCATCTGTATGAGAAAGAACTGAATATGACAAAGGAGATGATATCTTCTGATTTTCAAGTACTTGACATATATTATCCGGTAAGTAATGTTGCAATTCTACAAACTCCAAAAAAGAGACCCCTCAATAAAGAAACTGATAAATCTCTTAATTACTAGTTCGAAAATGAAGAGAATTTATGTTAAACTTCAACTTCTGTTTGTGCATGATTGTATACAAAAGTTCCAGTAATATATGACTCTTATTAATATATGTTCTCTCAAGAATATGTTCTAAATAAACAGGGTTCTGTTTTCTTTTTGGGGTCACCCTGTACTAGATATCACAAATGTATAATGCCTACGATTATAATCTTCCTGTATAACATTCATTGTTACAGGAGATGAAATACATCAATGTCAAAGAAGTTACACTCATCTATTTTACAAATCTGCTCAGTAAATTTGGGGGTACAATGGGACTTTTTCTCGGAGCAAGCATCTTGACTATGATGGAACTTATCGAGGTGATGTTGTTATACTGTCGAAGACATGTAGAAACAACAACAAATACTATTAAAGAATGGAAGAGTGGGTCGAACTTTGGATCTACAACAAATCTGCTCAGAGATGACGAAAGTAGTAGTGGGATGGACAGAGAAACAACAACGAATTAGGAATTAATGTTTTGTTAGCGATCGTTCGGTGATTTCCTATTTACAATGTTGGTGCAAACACATACTCCAATGCAGTGAACAGAATGTGGAAATAAATCAAATTTAGAGCAAGGATATATTAACACTAAGGAATTAGCTCTGAAAAAAAGTAGTTACCTCATTTCGAAGTCATCATTCGCTATAGAAGACAATGTAATATTTATATATGTTTTGTGTGACACTTTTAAGTATTCATTGTTTTCGCGCAATCAATGCTTTTTTATGTTAGTTTAAATTATTGCAATAGGCAAAGAAAAAAAGTAGAAATATAATTCTCATTTACAAATATTTATTACTCATTGTTATTCAAAGTTAAAGTTATTTATATCATTCACATAAATCTAATTAAACTCTTTCTTCATCCAATAAATTTTATAAATCAAAGGTTTGTTCACTTCAATGGTATAGAATTAATGAGTATGTTGACATAATGGGTCCGCACACAGCATTTCCTGACCAGGAAGAAATTCCTATTATTTTGTTTATGGGGAAGAAATATAGAAATATTACTTTGTATTGGTGAAGTGTAATTACCGTTTTTTTGGTCATTTCGTATTATTGTGAACAAATTTAAGTAGATTTTATAAACTATTGCCAAGAGTACAAAAGCCAGAGTGCAAGTTGCATGTGACACTAGCTAAGAATCTTCCAAATATCAAACAAATAAAGGGAACGAAGTTTTTTTTTATCCATAGCTGGGGTGAAATAAAAAGAGATTCAAAATAGGCAAAGAAAGGACTATATTGAAAAAGGTTGGAAACCAATGTTCTAGAACTTGCATAAGGTTAAAAAGTAACTTGAAATCATGAAAAAATTAAATTAGTCAGTGTGTAAGAGATATGTACCGGTAACTGTGGTAATGTAATGTGAACGCAAAACATATGAAATCAAAATTTCACTTTCTAATAGTCATAATCCAGTATTATTGGATCTGAGTTAATTTGTGTCGGTATAAAATCTATAGATTATTTTTATATAGAAAGGTATTTAAGCGGTTATTACATCTTTATTATTTTGACTAGTATAACAGTTAAAATGTGGAAATTACAATCATCTTCTAGTGGAAATTATTAAAAACATATTTCTGCAATACTTTAAGAGTGAAGCAAACCAATTGATTGAAATTCAACTTTTTCTGGTACGGACAAACCCAAATAATTACTCTCATTCATCAACGCAAGTACAGTTGAGTACAGAAGATATATACAAGAAAAAGGCTTAAAAGTATGAAAACTTAGTTTCTCACCACTTCAGTAAAAAATTACAGAAACTTATTTTCATTAAGAGGGTTTGGATTTGAAACAAATCATCCAATTTATCCTCAATTTATTCAACAATTTTCCTACCTGGTTAAAACTGATTTCCTTTAATGTCTGAGGTCCACGTTCTAACAATCCGTGCAAAGGTTCCAGTGTAGCGAGCATCGATGCTACATCTCTTTCCCCAAAATATAATCTTGATGCTTCTTCTAAACCTTCGTGCCACAACTCGTGCCATAATATAGCAACTCTAATGAGTTCATCTGACACCTGTTGATATAATTTTATGTGCTATTAACTAGGGCTGTCCAAGCGAACCAAATATTCGAAATCGAATCGAATCGCAAATTATTCGAATCGTTTTTCGGCTAATTTTCGAATCGCTAAAATTAGGTACCGGTACATAAAGCGGAACCCACCTTTACGGGATGTTTTTCATCGGGCAAGCGGCGGCGCTCCCAGCTCAGACCACTCTCGCTCCCGGCTTGCTTAATTGGTTTCCCGATATTTCTCTCGCCTTCATTTTGTGATAAACATGTCATTACTAATGCCCGCCCGGTGGCACGTGATTAGCCATTTCATGCGTGGTCATCATAACAAGGTATAGTCGATCGTGACGTTTTTGAGAGAGAACAAGAAGAAAAAGGAGACAATTTAGAAAACGATAGTTCTATAAATAGAATCGATTTGAAGCTGTTGAGTTAGTTATCATAGGAACATGGTACAGGCAACTCAAAGCTGAAACAGGTGTTTTGGGATCCTTATGATGGCAATATCTTCTTTAAATGGAATTTGTAATTTCTCATGATGGCATTACTGTATTATCCATCTATATACCAAGACAAATAATTGCACTCTTGCATTTTGATGGCTGTTGTACACTAACAATATTATAGTCCTCAAATAATATTGTCATCAAACTAGCTTGGAATTTTAAATGCAATTTTGAACTTGAGCAACAGTTTTATCTATATTGATGGTTGTTATTATTTTGCTGAAAATTACACAAAAAAACATAAAGACTAGTGAATAGGATTAAAATAGCATCTACAGGCTTTATATGTCCTACTAAAACTGAATCCATCAAAATTGAGATTGCAATTTTTGAATAGTGCAATTTTTACTCTTAACACTCAACAGTTTTCGAGACCCAAATTTTGGAGTTCTCCAATTTTTTTGACCAGTTCATACAAGCGTGTGATCTCCTTTGATGTAACTGCACATACGTTACCACAACATCGAAGGGCAGGCGTTTATTGTATAATGGAGACAGATTTACTATTGCGCAATAATATTCGATTATTCGGTTCGATTCGGCGAAAATATTCGATTCGATTCGAATCAAAAAATTATTCGATTTTGGACAGCCCTACTATTAACCCTTATTGTGTGTTATTTACCCTCTTACTCCTGACCTAGGTAAATCAATCAAAGATGATTAAATATCAGCATGGTGCATGTAAAAGGGTTAATAAATGAGAATACTCTAAAACAGGTGGGTGCAACCTTTAATACACAAAGGTCAGATACAAATAATAGGATGAAACCGCAGGCCGCACCTTTACTTAACATAGGTTTTCTAGTAGTTGCTGACTCAAAAATTTTGGTTATTGATCTTGTGACATGCGTTGTTCGCTTTGCACAAGATCAGATATAGGCATTGCAACGTGAAGAAATTGGAATACCTCGCACATACTAGATTAAATTTAAACTCGTTACGCTGGCAGCAAACCATTCAAAAGTGGCGCTTCTCTGTGGGCCGCACAAGTTTTCCTCGTGGGTCGCATGTGGCCCACGGGCCACAGGTTGCACACCCCTCCTCTGAAACTAAATCTTAGAGAAAGTACCGAGTGATATTCAACCACTGGCCTTTGTGAGTCTGTCTTGACGGGTGGCACGGCGGCCCACCAGTCGAAGCGTTAGACTTAACTGTGTTGGAAGCGCCTATTACACATCTCGTTCAGATTCCTTGCCACTCACCTCACGCTAGTCGGCAATGCCGACTCTTCCAAATAATAGCAGATACTTACATATCGCTGGATATCAGTAGCTGCTTGTATAAAACCTAGTTCGGAGAGAAAGGCATGAATACGAGTCGTATAGTAAAATAGAGCCCCTGCCCCTAGTTGAGCTGTAGGCAGTCACGAAGAATGATAGCAATATCTTACCATGATTGCTTGCTTTACCAACGTATCCGAATGTTCACACATTTTTGCCAGAATGGTATTGGCTGCTTTTTGTCTTGATTGTGCAGTGGATTTTGATGCAACAGTCAGTGGATAAATCAATGCCTGTACAGATAAACATATAGTTCAGAAGATTTTATATTGAAACAAACTTCAAACAGAACTGTGAGTTGGTGAATGCTTCGTAATGCCCTAGTTTTAATTTAATATTGGCGAAAAAATATTTAAATTGCAAATTTTATCTTATTAAGATTTACTCAAAGAATTAATAACCTCTTTCTAGTTCGTGACGAGTAAGAGGAAAAAAACCTACTTGAGGGTGATGCTTTCCAATATCATTCAATAGCTGATGAACAGGTCTTGCAACCAAGTTTCTAGGAGTATCGATTCTCGCAATCAGTTGAGGTATGACCTAATAAATATATTGACATCGTAACCATAGGAAATTTCAAACAACACGAACACACTATATCACAAAGCTATAATACACTAGCAAAATAACCTTATAAATAGTCGAGAATTGCATCATACAATGCTTACTATTTGACCGACAACAGAAGAGTGTAGTTGTAGCTCAATCCTTTACATTTATCTTATCCCCTAATACTCTTAATTGTTTTCACGCTCTGTAGCAGCAACATATTCATTTTTAATATTATTTGAAATTAAAATGAAGCAGATGAAATGTAGCAGACAAAATTGGGTACTCCCGTAGTGTGGGTACCAGGTTAGGGTTAGACTATCATTTTATTCTGATTTTACTTATTTTAGTTCTATTACGAGTTCGGGGCCTGTCTGTGTTCGGCAAGTGAATATACCTCTGCCCATAGGTTTCAGTCCCTTTACTTGTTTAAAAGTAGGCAAACAAAATTAGTAACTTCCATATTGATTGATACACACACTTCTGGGGCGTCATAAATTGAATATATATAAGATACAGCAATTTGAGGTAACAACAGGTCCAACTCCTTTCTTAAAAACTTTTTACAAATAATGATTCCCTGGTATATAAATTAAAGCAATAATAAACATAAATAAAACATTCATTTCATGGAAGCAACAACTCATAAAGAAACAGGGTATCATTACCTGGAGCCAGTTTTCAATCTGTATCGTCTCAATATCTTCCACAACAGCTTCGTAGATTTTCTGTTTGTCACCGTAATCAAACCACAAAGTCAAGACTCTGTAAGAATGAAAAGTTCACAAGTAAATCACAACATAGAAAAACACACATAATATACTTGTTAAACTACCTCCTACCATGTATTCTAAATATTCATGCTTCATTGAGTTACATTTTGTTTTATGGTTTCATTGAAACCATATTGCAGGACAAAAATACGATAATTGTTCTATTACAGATGTATAATTGATCCAATACATACAATCTTCCCCTCTCAATTTGGTGAAAATGTCAGACATTTGCAACTGAAATTGTTGAAACGAATATACAATGCTGCTAATGAAATGATATAGTAATATTCTGAAAGATTAGGAATCATTATTTTGTTATACGTCTTAGCATGCTACCGTCTAACTTGACAATTGCTCCAACTTACCGAAGGGTGTCTTGTAATGAGTTTCCAGCAGACAATGCAATAGATCTAAAAAATCCTCGAACAGAAGGAATTGCATATTGAAGAAGTCTCGCATGATAATCCTAGAAGTAGAATATTAAAGTCAAATAATTTTAAAAAGTGCAGACATACGTGGATATTATAATTTGTGAGAAAAACAATTGAAATAGACACATGAACAGAAGTATGGGTTGTCACACCAATGCTAATTAATAGTTTATATTGAATTTGCAGTCATATGATAAAAATGAACATACTTCCTTGGTTGGTACAGAACTGATGTCAAACTCTATTCCTCCTGAACTCTCTGAATCTTCATCAGAATCTTCTTCTTCTTGAACTACCGTAAGTAACAAGAAAATTGGAATTGTAATTGTACAGTGCAGTTACAGAATTGCCATTTCAATGACCTGCATAAACTAATATGACTACTTGCCTGGTGAAACTGGAGTTTTCTTATTTTCTTGCATTTTTTGATCAGTCGGTTGATCCACTTTATTTTTATAAAATTGAACACATTCAAAATTCACAACTGCCCATGAATGCCAAGCCTGCAATAGAAAGCAAACACAGATACTTAAAGAGTTCATAAATAAATATTAAAAGTGGCTTTCGATAAAAAAAAAATTTACGATTTTTTGATCGATTTTCATGTCTAGTGGTTTTGCACTTACTTTATACCAAATTCTATCATGTTCAGTTGCAAGTCTATGATATTTAATGATCTGATGGATTTGATCTTCGTTTATTCCATACAATGATTTCTGCCAATGTCCGAGTTTGAGGAAACATCTGAAAAAATTTATATAAATAAGATGAAGATAATAAAATGAACAGACTATATTATTTATTGCAAATTTTTCTGACAACAGTTCACAGAAAAAATTAATTTCATATTGTCATTTCTTCTGTTTCATTGAAATTGGATTCAAATATTTCCAACCATTTACATTAGGTGTTAACTTTATGTTTTCATATACATTTCGCCCATGTGATTGACATTCTGGAATGACTGCACTCTGATCCCATTTCCCAATGTTTAACTGACCAATGACAATACAGGATAATGATAAAGCCTTGAGGGTAAAATGGCTAAAGAATTACATCCCCAGCATAAATACTGTCATGCTGGTGTGGAGGCAACATGTAGCTTATGTCTGGTTTTATATTATGTTATTTGTGGAAACATTTGAACAGGTTATCACTGGTGAGTCAATAGAACAATAAAATAAGTCTCACCTTGATAATAAGTGCTTTAGTTCGCTTTTTTGTTCGTCGTTTAAAGTCTGAGGAACAGTTTGAATACTGCTGACAAACTGCTGCATGTTAGTGAAAGCTTCGGTCTGATTAAATAAAATTAATACGAATAAACAAAATGAAATTTGCAGTTGTATTGAAAAAAACAAGAACAATGGCATCAAATCTGGACCATATGGTTTGAAGAGGTTAAAATCAACAAATCTAGGATTCTGTTTTAGGTCTTGTATGAAACATAAGCTGAAATCCAACCTGTTTTCCTTGTTTCCACATATGCTTCATATATGCAAATGAGACATATGGATATGTAGTTGGTAATGGAACATTAGGATTTGCACTTGGATCCATTTCAAGAAGTTTGATCAGGACTTTCTTCGCAAGACCCTGAAATAAGAAATTGCTTGAAATATAATCATAAAGCATGAAGGTGATTCATCTTTATAATTTGTACATATTTTACAAGAGTCCATTGATGATAATTTCTTCAAACTGATGAGCAAGATCACATAAAATAGACTTCACTCATTGTGAAAATACACTCATATGGCTTAATGCAAAATTTATCCAGAGTATTTTTGTTATGTGGACACCAGACTGATATGGAGTGATGGAAAAGGTATGGCTAATTGATACATTAACACTAACAGAACCGGCAGCTAATCGGATATGACCTATAGTTACCTCTCTTCCATTCTTGGTGCATAAACTTGCAAACTTCAACCAGGTTCTCATGTCATCATGGGGTGATATTACTAATGAACGAACTTGAATAATCCTCTGCCAATCTTCAAGATTTCTCTCACATCCCTGTCAAATATTTACCTTCAGATATCACAAACTAGTATCAGATAACAGAAGGCTAACATTGTCTCAGGAATACAATATTATGCAAAGATGTGATTTTGGACAATAAGATATGATATATATGCGAACAAAGGAGATTTGCAATGTGAAATTTAGGACAAACGCCTATATTAATGTAAAAAATGAACATAATCATGATTTTATTATATAATTTAACGCAGTTTAGAACAGTGGTTACCAACATATTTCAATATATTCCTCCCTTTGCTTAATTTGGTCCTGTTTATCCCCCCCCCCTCAAAAGTATGTTTTATTCAAAAAACACATTGAAAATACGTGGATGGAACAATAATAATGAAATAAATGAAGTTTCAAAAACAAATAAGACAGCCAAGATCAAATCTAACAAATATTTTTATTTTTAATTAGCTTCAAGCCCCCTCGAAAAATTGTCTACACCTCCCTTATGGGGCACCAGTTCATTTGGCATGTGTCAGCAATAAATTTATTTTAATCAAGTATACCAGTAGCAATTTGACAGAAATATAATTTACCATGTGACCAGTATATTTTATGTTACCTGTAATCTATCCCACCAGGCTTGTTTGATAAGCGGACGTCGTTCAGGTACAAGTTTGTAATAAATAACTTCTTCTAATTCTGCTAACATTTGACAATTGACGAGAGCAGAATATGCACGATTGTATGATTCACCAGCAAGAGCAGTTAATTCACTGTCTAATATTTCACGAGCTTCATCGATACACTGCAAAAGTAGAAAAGAATGGTTGCAAGGTAAGAATTCATTTTTAAATAAAGGTGTTTAAAGACGAAAGAATGTTTAAATAAAACATTAAATCAATCAAGTGAGTGCTATGGATGAATGTCGAAACTAAAGTGCTATTGATCCATGGTACACCCTTGACAAAGTATAAATTTTGTCATTTACGGTATATACGTTCCATCCGTTAATAATAAAACATCAATGACCTGTAAATTGTAGTTAAAAAATCCATGGGATAAATAATAACTTAAAATTTGAGCACACCAATGAACAACAACGTTTCTCAAGACAACTGTTACATTTTCATTGTAAAAAATTAGATAGGCGTATAAATGACATACCTCCTTAGCCTGAACAAAATGATTTTGATGCAAAGCCATAACTGCACGATAAAAAGGTCCATCGTATTGTTCTCTTGGTATCATACAAGTATATTCATCCATGCTTTCCCATTTTCCTAAACCCCATGATGCTGCGACTGCCAATCTAGCCATTCTTCTCTGGTAAGTTTCGTCAGAATTTTGTTCCCATTCACCTTCAGCAAATGAGTGGAGGTCATCCCTGAAAAGTCATTTTACTTTTTATTATACTTGTTTTGATTCATTTTCAAGTGACGCAAAATTTTGAAGTTATCATAAGCATTTGATTAAGAATGAAACCAAACCAGAAAATATTAGTAATTACTTCGCAATACCTATAGAAACAAGTATGCATTGGTCACATTATATTGCAACACACAAATATACGGTCGTGCCATTTGAAACGCTGCTCTAAAAGCGTGAGTTTACCGAAATTTCTATGTGGCTCAATTTATCAAAAGAAGTAAAAATGAAGTTGTCAAATAAGCCTACGGGGCCCCAAAGCAGGGTGGAAAAATATAAGTAAGAACCTTCTAGAAAACAATTCTATTAGTAAAAGAAAAAAAAAGGTTAAAATAAATTCAATATCATTAGACAGTGGAACTATGGATTAATATGCATATACAACAACAATACTGAACAATTACCATTGTCCAAGAGCTTCCAGACATCTCATATAACCAAGTTTATTCTCAACCATTTTATCATGCAATTTTTCAGTCTCTGCCTGACTCATCTCAACAACGGGAGTCTGAACAACTGATATGTTGTACGAATATGCTTGCTTTGCTTCTTCCCATTTATGTAATCTTTCATACCATGTAACATCCATACCAATCTCACCTTGTATTTTCTGACAATGAGAATAAATCAAAATAAGACTATTAGTAAAAAAAAAATCCAAACAAATTTTATAACAGTCACAGGGTATTCTATAAAACTGACCTATCCTGGTTTTAAAATGAGCAGCATGCAAAAACTAAAAAAAAACATTACTTCGAGACTGAGAGACAACAGATATTTCCAGTGATGTCCAAAACGAACCGAATAGGCTACATTCCAAATTCATTATAGCAAATTTTTGAATTTAGGAATAATTTAATAATTTGTTACATAAACCTGCCACCAATTTCGAATGTATTTCATATTTCATATTCAAAAATTTTTTCTAAAAGTGTATTAGAAATAGTGAAATATTTGGTTTTGGCTATCCCTGTTTAAACAAATCTAAAAAATTATGCAGCCACATGTTATACTAACGAAAGTAACACATTAAGCCTTAGAGGGTAATTTTTTTTCTGCTGGTGGTAATCACCATAGACAAGACACTATAACACAAGTTACACAGTGTAATGAAGCAATTTTCACTACTGAAACGAAAATTTGAAAATGTGAAACGACTTTTGCAGCGAATTTAAACTTGAAAATATCAAATATGAGTAAGAGATTTATTTTAATATTTCTTACACTAGTGGCTTTAAAAGTGTAGGAAGTAGTTGTTGGAGATTGTTGATTCCCGGATACATTTTTCTCATGATATAACAAGACACCATCAGCTGCATCTGCTTGGCCAAGCTTGCTGTTTATACTGTGGAAAAGAGCTTGAGTTATGTTGGGTCTAATAGTACATCGTACTTCTACTGCCAAATATCTGAAACAGGTTAAAACTACAAAAATAACTTTAATAACTGTCGGCCTGATACAACTTACAACAGTACCTCACGCAAGAGCGCTCCAGAAGTGTACGCACTGATATGGAGGTAACAAATTTTGTTCCCAACTTTACGTCAAGTTGTATAAAGGGACTGAAACCTATGGGTAGGGGGTATATTCACTTGACTAACACAGACAGTCCCCTAACTCGTAATAGAACTAAAATAAGGAAAATCGGATTAAAATGATGGCCTAAATTAACCCAGGAGTACCCATGCAAGACTGTTAATTGGTTTTTAATCCTGGGAAATGTCACTAGAATAAAATAAGATTTTCCTATTTATCTCCAGTAGAGGAAAGCCGATTAGATGGCTTCATCATATGACGAAGCTGGTTAACAGTCCATGTCCAACAATACTCATAATAATACCCCACAGGATTCAAACCAGCGGACCTGCTTGAAGTAATCAGGGGTGAGCTCAGCATGATGTGAGCTAAAGGTATCACATTATTTATATATTTCAATCTTCGTTAATGTAATGTGGTTCATTCATAAAATAGAATTAAACTTAAAAGACATATTTCCCAAATTAGTTATTTTTTAACTAAACAATAGAACATCATACAAAATATAATTTTCTAGTTGAGCACGAAGTGTACATGTTTCAAGCTGATATTTCATCCAAAATCTTGTGCTTTTTATTTGATGAATACAAATATTCTGCAAGAAGTAACTTTAAACAACATGCATGAATTGAACAATGATAATTCAAACATACTACTGGACCTATCATACTCACTTGATGAGATCACCAATTGCAGCAGTGCCTGGATCCTTATGAAATTCTAATTCTTTATAATGCAGAGCTTTTGCAAATGCTCGACATTTTGTTGCTGTTTCGCCAAGCAGTTTAATCCCATTATCATCTCTCAAAGGTAAAGGACCCTAAAATTTAAAATATTATTCAAGTTAAAATGTAATTTTGGACTCTCAGATGCCTCATTCACTGACACTAACATAGTTGCTACTAAGAATAGGGCTTCAGGAAAGAGATAAGCATATAATACAAAGGTCTACACATCGGTTCAAGTGTAATAAAGCTTAGAGCAGGTGTGTGCAAACTTTAATACAGGAGGACAAGATAGAAATAACTGGGTGAAACCGCAGGCCGCACCTGTTGGTTATTGATCGTATGGCATGATTTGTTCACACAAGCTAGCTGTTAAGGCATAGTAAAGTCATAGGCACAGATATAGGTTTCGCAATGCAAAAGGATTAGAATTACTCGCAAATACCAAATTAAATTAATTGGAAAACTCGTTTTGCGGGCTGCACATCATTCAAAATTGGCACTTCTCCGTTGGGCCGCATAAATTTTCCTTGGGGGCCACAGGTTGCACACCCCTAGCACAGATTATTTATCGGTGGACAAGTGTAACAGAGGCGGTCATGACAGAATGATAAAAGTGTTCCATTTTAAATTGAACAGCAAAATTTTGGGGTGAAATATCGGGCTTAATAAGACTATATAAATTTAATAGCCTTCCATCTTTAGGTACTCAAAATTTGAAATTTGTTAGGTCCCGTTAGTTGTGGATAGTGGAGGACTGTGGGAATAATATACTCCATGCAAATCTGATATGTCAAATTATTAGAAAGCAATAATTGTACTGCCGGTGTCACAAGGACAAAAAGTCCAATGATATAAATTCTTAGGACAAGCCCATGTTTGTCACAAGTACCTTTTCAGTATGTTCCATAAACTCGGCAAGATTTAGGAGAGTGTGAGTAACTTCTGCTGGTACATCTGGAGCATGAAGTGCGGTTTCTATTGCGAGAACTAATTCATCTTGTTGCATTTCATTCAACTCAGACCAGCAAGATAAGAAAGCAGCATTGAACAGTGCACTACAAAAATTAAATAAACAATGTTTATAAATGATTCAGCAATGTGAAAACAGTTTACAAATGGACAATCGGTATATAAATCTAATAATATTATAATAATTGCCATCAATAGGCTACAAGTTAATCTGGTAATTATTTTCCAATTGTACAATCTCCTAAACTCAAGTTAGAGTTTATAAATCAGGCTTTCAAATGAAAAAATACAGAAAGTTGAGTGCTTTAATGCAAGGTTGTGCAACCTTTTAATAAGGGTGGGGCAGATACAAAAAACTGGGTGAAACCGCGGGCCGTACCTTTATTTTACATAAGCTCCCACGCAGTTACAGGGCATTGTAACGTCATGGGCATAGATAATAAATTGGACTCAGGTATAGACTTCGCACCACAAAGGAATTGGGATTACTCGCACGTAACATATTAAACTAATAAAAACTCGATTCACAGACCGCACACTATTCAAAATTAGCACTTCTTTGTGGGCCGCACAATTTTTCTTTATGGGCCACAGGTTGCACACCCCTGCTTTAATGAATGATAACTGCATAACATCATTCCATAGTTAGAATATGTTTATTCCGCATGATTTGTGTAAAAAAAATAAAAACAAAAGTCGATAAAACTCAAAAAATAAAATAAAATTCTGTACCGTGCAAGAGGAGCATATGAGTTAGCGAGAGCTCCACACGCTTTTAATGCAGATGACGGAGATTCTTTTAATAATTCAACACTCAGACGACGTAACCATTCTAACCAATCATCTTTTGAAACTCGACGAACTATTTTCCACGCCTGAAACATTAAAATGTAAAGTTTATTTAATTAAAAAGGATGCATTGATTAGAAGGAATAAAAATTTTGAAAAATAAACTTATTTGTATATCAAAACAAAAATAATTCTGATTCTAATTCCAATTTTTCACACTTTTCTAAAATAAAGAAAGTCTTACAATACACAAACATGTAATTTTTATAAAAATAACTACCTTTTGTAAATTTTGAGTGCTGACATGAACTTTTTTTGTGACACTGACTTCAGCAACACCACTCAATGAAGAGTTTTCTTGAGACTTGGGATGACCAGTCCATAAAAATATTCCACTGTCCAGTTCATCTTGAGCCTGTGACCAACATAAGATGTAAAAGAAAAAAATTAGTCATAAATCAGAATATATCAACGAAGTAAATGGAAAAAAATACTAAGATGTAACTGAACTTACAAGCATCACTTTCGACACCATCTTATCATATTCCGAATGAAGAATTTTGTGTTTTTCAATCAAATTATTGATCATCGGTACAAACACAGCAAATCTAAACAAAGGTAAGTGTTTTACATTATTTCTTTTTAAACCTATTACTATATGTTATCGCATTCACAATAGTACTAAACTTTATAAACAGGGCTGGAATGTATTTTTTCTGCTAAAAATATAATTATGTTATTGGCAAAAATTGTTCAGCTTTGCTAAAATAGTGTTTCTCAACCTAAGGGTCACAACCCATAACTGGGGTCACCTTTTTTTTTTTTTTCAACAAAAAGCTAATCGTTGGTGAGTGCATTTTCTGGTAAAAACACCGCTTATTTTGTAAGTGTTGTTCAATAGTAATTGTAAATGGTGAGTATCACAGCATAAAAAATTGGAATTCCTATTTAATTTTGCGAACCATGAAATCATTACATGCCGTTTAGTATTTGAACATATCCTTGGGTCGCAAATTGTAATCTTTTACAAAACTCATTTTTCAGGATGTTCAGATCTTAACCTGCGTTGTCATTATAGCTAGGTCTAATATTTTGAAGCATTAGGCCACCCACCACGCTCAAATTTACTTCACTTTACAGCGTATTTATCTCACTTGAGTGCGTAATCACAGAATAAAAAACACCATACTTGGTACCGAACTGACACACGAGGGCAGCAAGTGCATCCATTGAAGGAGGTCTGAGATCAGGTATCGAGCTGATGACACGAGAAATAGGTAGAACAAGCTGAGACATATGTTCTCTGAGATCAACACATTCTGACCATATTTGAATTGTTTCAATTGCAGCTCTGTAAATGAATAAATTTAATTTCACTATAAAAATCTTAATTCAGGTTTGTGCATCTTAAACTATACCCGAACTATAGGTGACTTGCAAAAAACATTTGAAACATATTCCAGAAAAAACATAACACTTGTGCAAATTCGTTAATGGACTCTTTTTCTCTCATAGCTCCATACTGAGTTTTAAACCTACCACCCAGTAAGTCTATTATCTGTTAGTGGACCACTTCAAAAACTAATTGCCCATCCCCGGACTAAAATATGTTAGCAGGTTATGGAAATCGTATTCTGTAATGAAGTAAGAAATAGCTACATATTTATTATCTCTATTACAGGTAAATTCATTTGAATACTGCAGATTGGAGTGCCAACGCTTGTCTGGAGATCTTTTGAGTGATTACCATTCATAAAATATGATAAATAATAATTTTACTTATTAAAACTTAACGTCATACTCATATCTCACCTTCGTATATTGACGGGAGATTCTGCAGAATCCAGAAGTCGAATAACAGGGGGAAGGAATAAATGAATGAAAGTATCAAGGTTCGTGCTGAATACTTGAAGAGCATGAAGCATCTGAAAATATAAACGAGAATATCAGTCAGAGACCGAAGACTTATCGATAGAAAGTTAGGGGATCCCCCAAAACAGCGCTCTTACTCCATAGTGACACTTTGTGTCCCATCACTAATTAATTAATAACTCGCTAATTATACGACATAATTCGCCCAAAATCAATAGGCTACTGGTCCGAGATATGATGAATGCACATGCAAAATCTGCAGCAGATCCAATCTCACTTTCGTGAGATATCGCGTGCATCTAACAGACAAACAGACAGATAAACAGACAAATACCTATCAACATACTTACCGATTAAAATCGATAAGAAATAAAATTAAGGCTTTGAGCAAACTCCTGAATGCTATTAAATCTACTAACGCTACTTTATGTGGATCTGAGTGAGATATAAAATAGAGTTATATTTTACATTATTCATGTCGTTTGTTGAAACAAATTGATTATTTGGCAAACCACAGCAAACCCTCATCTGGTTATCATTTCATGTGGGGTATGGGAATAGTTAACTAGTAATTTGTTTCAGTGCATGGACTTGATGGTGGAGGAAGCTGTAATCAGCCAGTCGTTCAATAAACTATCTAAAAACAGTGAGGAGTCATCCTCTCACTCATAATTATCTCTCACCTAAGCATGATCTAACTCTAAGCATGATGCACCAACCGGCAAGCTGTGAAATATGTCATTTTCACAATTAAAACTTGATTTAAACAAGAAGGTAAGATATGAGTTGACATATCTTAATAACTCAATATTTGAAATCAAAACTACATGAAATATTATGAATGTCTCTACAGAAGAATAAATCAAATAAGTAAATCTGATTAATATAATATCCAACTGCAAAAAATATTTACAAAATGTATATCAGAAACAAATATATCGAAATAACTTGAATTTTCTGTTCATTTGAAATTTCAGATGTTAACAGAAAATGTTAGCGAAAACCAATCACAAGCTACTAAAAAAGTCCACTTCGAAAATAAGTCTTAAAGCCATTGGCATTTTGAAAGAGAATAAAAAAGACTGAGATACTGAGATATTCATTTCCTTAGAACTATTAAAATTGTTGAATAATTAAAAAATGCATTACCTTTAAAGTAACACTCTTTCCAAGACTATCATCATGAATAAATACTTTTAATGCATGAGGAACAACTTGTGGCAAATATATTTTAAAATCAGCAGCGAGAGCAGAAGCTATTTGTTCCGTCAGCAAAATTAATGTTCCTTGCATCGGACTCCCAACTGTCCAATACTCCTAAAATATAAAGTGAAAAGTTATGCAGGGTGACTAAAAAACAGAACCTATAAATTACTTCCACAAAAAGAAAAGGAAATTTATTTATCACTTGGATTTCTGTTTGTGTTTGATTGTATCCAAAGTTTCAGTAATCTATGTCGCTTTGCAATTTCAATTTATGTTCCTCTTGAACATGTTCCAAATGACCATAGATTTTTCGGTACTCCCGTAGTGTTTATCAGGTTAGGGTTAGGCCATAATTTATCCCTATTTTCCTTATTTTGGTTGTATTACGAGTTTGGGGACTGTCTTTGTTAACTAAGTGAATATACCCCCCACTCATAGGTTTCAGTCACTTTACACAACTCGGTGTAAAGTAGCCAAACAACATTAGTTACCTCCATATTGGTACACACTTCTGGAGCACCGATTTTTTTTAGGTATTAGTTATATCAACAGAATTTGGATCACAACGAAGGTCATTATTTCCGGAATCCGGATAATTCAAACTTGAGTTTGTCTGCGAAACTTAAAAAGATAATTCAAGAAGATCAAATTATCAGTAATGTAATTCCTGATTCTATTTAATTATTTCATTATTTTTATTAAACAATTTATATTATTAAAAAAACACTGTCGAAAAAACCTAATGACATTAAACCTTGATGTCATTACCTTGATGACATCAAAAATTTCATCCATAAAATTTCGAACATGTTGTTTAACAGTGAAGACAATGATTCCTAGATTCTTGAAGAGAAACTGAGAAGAGAAAACAAATTGGCAATTACATGAAATGTTTTCAAACATTAAATTGCAACGGGCAGTCTGATAAATCTACAATCCCGCTTTTAATTGGCCAGAAAAAAAACATTAAAAGTTCAAAAGTATCCAGATTTCTACCTACCTGGTTAAAAAATTTGAATTAAATATGGAATAGCGAAATTTTGTCCATGAAACTGCCAAAGCTTTTAAGTTTGAAATTTTGACCCAGATTCTAAGGAAATGTAAAAAATGAATATGGCTTCTGCATATACACTAACAAAAAGCACCAAACTGTGACGACACTCCTGGCAGTGGGAAATTTAATACCTGCTTAGTGCTTACCCACTTTGTTCAACTTTGCCTTTTTGAAGTATAGTATGAATGAATACTAATCTTAATTCTAATTGAGTAGTCAAGCTATTGTGACTAGAATTTTCAAGATTGACTTCCGTCACTATCGCTTAAAGATATTTAAATACTCTTGAATACAAACCTCTCTTATATTGGGATCACATGATCGTATCGTAGCCAAGTATGTTGGGATAATTTGTGGAAGATATGAAACACACTTCACTCCAAGAGATTTGAACATGTAGTCAATTGCCTGAATATAATTCAAAAATAAAATGACAAAAAAAATGGAAATAAGTAGGATGCAAGTCAAAGTAATAAACTCTGGCAATGTAGATATCGAATATTGCAAATTCCCATTTTATATTTAATGAATTCCCTTCTGAAAATATTCATATATCATTGTTTAGTTCCCCAGTTCTCAACCAGTGGGCCGTGGCTCACTGCTGGGCCACAGAAACATTTTCACATGGGCCCCAAAACTATTGAAAAATACAAGTGAGTTATTCATAAATTTAGTTCGACTTGTGACAAGGATAAATTTTGATTGCAGTAACAATAAATGATGCTACAGTTGTTTGCTGAAGAGTTGTAATTTTCATTCCAATTATTAAAGTGTAAGTGTCCATATTGGGGGGGAAATTTATTTGTTTTTCTTGTAGTTTTACCCTGACAAGGAGAAGCTAATGGGCCACAGAATTTTTGTGCAATAAAAATGGGCCATGAAAGAAAAAAGTTTGAGAACCACTTAGTTTGTACCTGTATGACATCCATATGATGCGTCGAAAGCAGTGGATCTTTCAAAACTCTCATTAATGTTGTGACGGCAACAGCAAGATAAAATTCTTCAGATGAAGTTCCAAGTGTAATCAACATCTCACTAGTACCACCATCTATGAAAAAGAATTGTATCGAGAGACATGTTGATACAAGAGACTAATTGATTTTAGAATGTCTGAATCATTTTCAATGAAATATTTCACGCTAGTTTTTATGTAGATTTACGTGGACAAGATTGAGAGTACTTCAGATCGAAAAAATGACTCACTAAATGACTACTGAGACACTAACAGCAGCTTCACAACAGCGAAACTGGCAAAAATTTCTATGACCAATGACCATCGTTAAGCATGTCTTTGATAGAGTGTATATGTAAACATTACATCACTAATAACTTCGGGAAGGTCTTCCTACTAGAATACACTAGATGTCACTATGGAGCTGTTCCAAGACACCACATATCTCGAACTATAGATAACTTAGTTGACTGTAGGTGATGGTATTTTTTTTAATTGTTTGTTTAAGACTTTACATTTATTTAAGCAATCTTTTTTTTTCATTTCATTTTCATTCCGCAGTAGATTTTTCTCATCATTAGATACCATTTCAAGATAATTTAGTAAGGTCTCAGAGGAATATCTTTGTAGAAGATAATTCCCTAAAACAGAATACGAATAAACTTCGTGTACAGACAGTAATGAATGAGGAACATAAGCTTATCTGATAGAATGATTGAAGATAACATAATAAGTACTTTAAAATATGATACCTTGTTCTATGTCCTTATGTTCAGGCATTGTTACGACATCCGTTTCAGTCAGATTTATTTCACCCTGATTGACTTTATGTTTGAAAGGATCCAATGCTCCAATCAGACCAAGTACTTTGATAACCTGTGAAATTTTTATTTATGATATGATCAAATTTAGTACATTTTTTAGAATTACTCAGATGGTAACTTTCCGTGAAGGAGGAAGTATAAAATCGGAACTTTTAAAACTAAAAAACTACAACATGGGAATTCGAAGTATTTAAGTATTTACACACACACCAATAAAAAATTAAACTAAAATAGCTCATATGCATATGCTACAAACCTCCTTGCGAAAAGTTAATGATTGTTCAGTTTTTAAAAACGTTAGCAAAATATCAAGTAACTTTGGATATTTTTGATACGGATCAACAACATATCCTGTGCTTTGAACCAGTTTTCCAAGTGTAACAAGAGCGACCTAGATAGGATGATGAATATAATCTGTTAACTGGAAATTTTAGCAAAAACTATATTAAATAAACATAAAAAATGCACATAGCAGTAAGTAATGTGAGCATTAAGAAAAATCTTTCATGATATAAATAAAACTAGTTGAATAGGAGATGAGCTAGATACAAATGATTATTGCTTTCTTATACAAGAACTTATATAAGACAAATTTCCCAAAGCAAAAAGTGGAAATTTAGCTGTCCAGAAATACTGTTAGATGCAAGTTATAAGCCTCTATCGTAATGCTACGGCGTATTTAGATAATACTTTAAACAATGATATTTAACAGATGCAGATTTCGAATATTTCATGAACTATATAAATTAAACTTATATAATAAAACAAATATAAAGGTAATTTAGTTCCATATAATTGTTAATAAGCTCCACATAAATAAGCATATCACTAAAAGTGTAGAAATTCATTCTGATAAGCATACTTCTCTCTTTGCATAATTTGACAATGCTTGCAACATTTCTAATATAATTGGCATAAGTTGATCAATGACAGAATTGACTCCGATGTCAGATCCTCCAACTTCAGCAAAATCACCAACAGTCTGCATAACACCAACTATCACTGCAGAATTTGACTCATTAACTTTCAATTCTTCTATCAAAGCCTAAAAATTTAATAATGTTATCTGCTACAGAATGAGACAACTGCACGATAGTTAGTCAGTCAGACTGAGAAAACAAAATTAAAATTCAACACAAGACCTCATATATACATTATTACTGTTCACCGAAAAAATAAGTGATTTAAATTTAATCGAAAACTTGTGTTTGAAATAATAAGATAGTCAACACTAGTTAATAATAATAGTTATTAATTAAAACAGGCAATCAGATGTTCGGTGAAATACACAGAGCAAAATTGAGACAAATATTTGCTATCTATATGTTTTGTGTACAGCAGCATTTCTCAAACTGTGTTCCGCGGAACACTGACGTTAACCATCGGCCTAATTTTTTAAGTCACAACTTCACAGCAAACTTTTGAATTTTACCATAAGATAAATTTTTTGGAAACAATTCCCCTCAACGGATTGTTGGCTTAAAACTGGAAGTGTCAAAAGATGTTGTGATAAAGCCGGTTTTTTGCAAGTTGATGCACAGTAAATTACAAGTAAATTACACATTTTTTGTTATTATCAATCTACCTTCTAATTTCTTAGTGTTCCGCGAGGCGAGATAAAAAGCGTAAGTGTTATAGGGCAAAAAAAGTTTGAGTGACGTTGGTCTACAGAAATAACCGTTCATCAATTAACAACCTACTTGCATAGTCGTGTGAACGTAAGGTCGTATCAGTAATGGAGCAGTACAAGCGAGATGACCAAGTAATCTTGATGACTGAAGTTTATTTCTTCCAACACCACTATGCTGAAGTTCGGATAATAGCTAAAAACAAAACAGCATTAAACACAAATTTTCCACTTTTACAAAGTAATACTAGTCTAATTCATCATAAATAAAGATTCCACTCCTAATATTTTAGTAAAAACTTCCAAACAAATTTTGAAATAGAATCTCAGAAAACCTTTACATCTAGAAATTTTCAAGCAGGATCAATCTCTTATTCAGAGGTTTTAAATAAGAGAAACAATAAAATAAGTAATTACTTCAATTAAGGTTTTCCTCAAAAATGGCATGACATATGCTGGATTATGTTCGGCCAATCTTCCAATAGTTCGTACCGCTGCTTCTCGAACTTCAAACACCTCATCATGATTAGCAATGAATAGAGTGGAGAGATTCTCAGGCTGAACACAGACAAAAATCAAATTATGTCAATTCAGGTAGCAAAGAATTTGGATGTATAACAGTGTAACTATATACCAAATGTAAAAGCTTGTCAGGATCCAATGCATTTCAAACTTTGTCATAGGAAATAGTATATCATCATTTTATACACAGACTGTGATTAACACTGCAATCTACAAACCAATACACTGCAATAAGATGCATTAGTATATTGTTTAGCATATACAAAGTATTTTGAGATCATACTTTTCGTAGATGGAAAAGTGACATAGCCATATAACTAACATAGCTTGACAAAAATGTCAGAAGATACAAGAAGAGTAAAGCTTAAGTGATTAAAAATGATTATGTAGTTATGTCAATCGAAAGAAATACCTGTGCCAGATAACAATCAAATCTATCATTCAATAGATAGAGAACATCACATCTCACATCAGAATCTAAAAATATTTAGAATAAGAATCAAATAAAAATACTCATTAGTAAAAAAAAACATTGATCATTTGAGATAAATACCTTTATCTGTGATAGCAAGATTCAACACATCTTCGAGCACTTTTGCTATTCCAGGCAGTAGGTTGGGATAAAGCTGTAGGGAAATATTGAAATGTGATAGTTGACTAAAATACTTTTATCAAAATGGAAAAATTACCCTATTTTACAAATAAAATTTTATTGCTGTTATTAATAAAAAAAAAAAAATCTAACAAAATTTAAAACATGAATTTATGGTAAAGAAACTAGCCTTTTTATGTAATGCCTTTATGATTATGCTGTAATAATGCTTCAACTTGGAATATAGTCAAATTCAAACAAATATCGGCAATCCAGAAGTGCGTGTACCAAATACCAATATGGAGGTAACTAATTTTGTTCGCCAATTTTACATCAAGTTGTGTAAAGAGACTGAAATCTATGGGTATGTATATCCACATGGCTAATACAGACAGTCCCTGAATACGTAACAGAACTAAAATAAGGAAAATTGGAATAAAATTATGGCCTAACCCTAACCTGTTACACACACTACGGTACCCACTTATCTAATTTATGCAAATTAATCCTCAATAAAAAAAAATAGTCTACCCTGATGTTATTAGCTGTAGTAACATGTGGTGGTATATATGGCCGTAACAAAGTTGTCGTGGTGATAACAGCTTCTGTTCTGACTTCAATATCATCATGGCGCAGAAATTTTGAAGATGAACATTCTTTCGCAAATTGCATGATCAGATGTGAAGGCGTTCTTTCCCAAATGTTTTGATTATTGCTTAAATCACTGAAGCGGAACATTGCCAGGGTACGAAGAGCAAGCACAAGATTAGATGAATCTGTTGGATCAACAGTATTCGGCAAAACTGAAAAAGGGGAATATGAATTATTTTCCCACATATACAAGTCTATATCATGGACACTGTGGCCTAATGGTTGAAGCATAAGACTAACTATGATGACATCTCAGGTTGAAAGTCCACGCCCACCACCTTAACCAGGGTGTAATAAATTGGGTAGGCCAGTGGTCGACCTAAACTTTCATAGAATCTCTCGACGATGGATATGATTAAATACTAAACGGCATGTAGTACCTACTATTATGATCGCAAAATTAAATGACTAATATAGGACAATAATGTTCATATAACATAATTTCCGCAAAAATTGGCATAAAAAAAATTACTTCCAGTTTTGGGTCGCGACACATAGGTTGGGAAACACTGGGGTAGGCAATGCCAAAAAGCCTTCCAAGACTATAATATCTCCTTACGTATCAATGACTTTTTTGTGCAATGCCTTGTTCCAAGCAAAAGTCATATAAATATGTCATATAAAGAAAAGGCATTAAAAGATTAACTAAAAACTGGTTCTACTCAAAATACAGACTTCTGATTGAAAACAATACTATAATGAACATCATAGCATAGTAATAATACAAATATTCAAACCTATCGATGTCGAGTTCATTTCTTTTCCATTAGGTAGCTTTCCTGGTTGATTCAACAAAACTAATGACAATATATTGATCACTCCCTCACGAATTCTTTTTTTCAATATTGGTATCTTTGTACTGAGATCGTGCAGAGCAACCATGAGAGCAGAGCTGAATCAAAGACCCCATATTAATCACAAGGATATCAAAAATAATTGTAGAATTTTTGTCTAGATGAGTATTGAAGTCACTATAACTAATTAGAATTATCAAAGTGATAGGATTGTTTTCGGCTACCGTACTAAACTGAAACTATTAGACCTGCAAACTGACTGCTGAGTTCCTTGATATATACACAAGGAAGACACATATTATTAGTGATTGGGCATTGTTAAGGCAGTCACCAAGGAAGTAGATTCTTGGGAATACATCTAGATGGATAGGAAAAATAGTAATATTTACTTGAGTCCAACTGTGAGCATAGGTTGAAGTAAATGTTGTTCAATATGAGATGTGATGGAGTCGGGATCAGCCTCTGCAAGCATTGATATACAACTGAACACTGCAGGTTCAAGAACGAAATTTCTCTGCTTCCTAAGGAAATGAATGAACAAAAAATTTGTAGCAACAGGACTCGACTCATTCACTTTAATTGATCAAATTTTGATGTTCTTAGTAAGTTTTAAAGACTGAATAATTCCATACTTTTCAAAGCTCAACAAATATCTGCATCATTAGTGACGTGGTGTATGTCAGAGTACACACCTCAAATACTAGGAGAAAAAGGAACATTGTTCAGTAGTAATTTTTAACAAAATTATACTTAACCTCTAAAATTGTACACCACTGAATGAGCAGATAATAATAACATTAGGCCAGTGGTTCCCAAACCAAGTCCCGGTAAAGATTTAATATGGCCCGCTGAACTTGAGTGAAATAGCATAACACTTTGTTTTCCCTTTATCGCTCTAGATACCGCCAAATTGTTTTTTTGTGTACTGAATCTCAAATCAACCCTGAAGCCTATTTTAAAGCCCTATCCCCCAACACCCCTAAAACCTGCGAATAAAACTGCCATATAAAATCAGTACTCTGAAATTCTCATATACAATTGAGAAGCAAATCTAAACATACTTTGCAGGTATATCTTTGTTTGGAAGACAAGTTTTTATATATTCCAGAATCTTTGACATATAAACAGCAATATTCTTTTTTACAGAGAGTCCGATTAATCCAACTGCATAAAATCCTGATGATCTGTCACGATCTTTCTTCAAGCAAGAGAGCACAAATGCCATAGCGTCATCGAGAAAATGTCCAGAGAAACTTTCTGGATTAGAAGCAGCAAGTCGAGGTAAGAGTGATAACAACGATTGTTGAACAAGTTGATTGCGAGATGTCCTACAAGCCAATACCTCGCTGCAAATCTAAAAAAGTGAGTTGTGATGAAGTGATTCTTATTGTTTGTTATAGTTTGTTTAACAGGGTGGGAGGGGGCAGAGCTGGAGCCTGAGATACCAGAAATTTCACCGGCTCGAGTTCCTAACCATATATTTATTTTTCAAATTCAAAATTTCCAACTGCTAATAATAAAATCTATCTTTTACAGTTTATAATTTTTTTTTCAAATTTCATTCATTCTCAATATGCAGTCTATAATTATAAATGTTTTGATAACACAATGCATTTATTTGCTCAGTGTGCAACACCTTATGGCCTCCTATAAGACTGGAAACATATTTTAAATTTAGAAAGAAAAAAAAAATGTAAATTTTTCTTCTAATAAGAACAAAAACTTACTTTGATGTAGTGATCTTGAACTTGTTGAATGCAATGAAGACTCTCCATAATATTTTGAGAATCTGATATTCCAATTTTACTGGCACTAGAAGAAAGCAGATTGCCCAGTGATCTAACAGCACAGTAAGTTCCAGCAGCATCTGCGAGTCTTATAACACTTTGTGACCCTAAATTCAAAATCATCAGTTTATTTATCAGTCAAATTTATTTACAATATTTGTGAACATTTTGCATTGGTGATCAATTAAAAAACATGAATATGATAACCCCTATTTTTCAAAAATTGAGCAGGAATTATTTATTGAAATTTCCTGTCTTCATTCAGTGTTCAAAAAGTCATGAATATCATATATGATATTACTGAGAAATGGCTCGGCGGTGTGGTGCATCGTGCTAAGCGTTAAGAATACGCTCGCCACCGCATCTCTGATTACCCTTCACGGGTTCGCAGGTTCGAATCCCATGCGGGAATGATCATGTGCGAGAGGATTGCTGGACTCCTCGCCGCCGTAGGGTGGTTCACGTAACCGCTGGTCGGTTACGGCTTCCTCCACCATCAAGTCCATGCTTCCGAAAACAAAATAACTGGCTAATTAATCCCATACCCGACCTGGACAGGTAACCAGACGAGAGGCTGTGGTTCGCCATATGATTAAGCCGTCTTATCGACTTTCCTCTCCCCCGGGATAAATATGTAAATCCTATCCTATCCTATAACACAACAACAACATATCATTTCATTTGGTATCCTATCTAATTTGAATATAATCTGTTGCAGAGTAGAGCAATATAGTGGCGGCTTTGAACTGGTAACTTGAAACTCAGAGAGTTTTAGAGAAAACAACTTTGTTTCAGGAAGCAATTTTTCATTCAATCATAGTTGCCGAAACGGTGGCCTAGTGGTTAATGTGTTAAACTTGACTATGATGGCATCGGTAAAATCGTGGGTTCAAATCCCACAAACTCATCCAGGGTGTAGTAAATTGGGTAAGCGATAAAAAAAACGGAAAGATTTCTAATCTTCCAAACTATAGCAGCTCCTTACCTGGATGCTAGCATTGTTCAGAGTTGAAAGTGGATAAATATGTTGTAAAAAACGTGTTTAATCGAAATTACCTGAGGTAGGTTTGTAAGATGAGAGCAAAAGCGATGAAGCTGAAGCAGAATTGGATGATGAACGACCAGATGCAGCTGATCGTAGTGCAGACTGAAAATATAAAGTATATATACATATATATATATATATCAAACAAAAAATAAAAATAAAAATAGAATTTCATAAAAATAATAGAAGCTAAATTATAGAAGTAAACTATAGTCTCATGCTTGAGTACTTTATAGCGTTGAAAGCTAATTAAAATTGACACTTTTGAAATTGATTTAATAGGACCCCACTATTTAATGATTTATGCTGAGCTAGAAAGCAAACCTTTCCAGATTTTCTTGGTTGATCTTGAATTATATTGACTCTGTCCATCGCTTCTTCCAGCATTATCTGGCCTGATCAAAGTAAAGAGCGTTCTCATTTTACAGAATCATTGTTATCAAATTGAAATTAAACTCTCCAATGAAACTGTTTTAAAAGATAGCTCGGTGGTGTGGTGCATCGTGCTAAGCGTTAGGAATACGCTGAAGGAATACACTGATGCTCGGATTGCGTGGGTTAATTATGATGTGCGAGAGGATTGATGGACTCCAATTCCATGCATTTGAAAGCAAATAACTGTCCATCATATCATCTTTCCTCCCCCCCCTCCCCGTCCTCAAGAGATAAATATGTAAATCCTATTCTATTATAAGCTAGAATTTTTTTTTCTCATAAATTTCGATTTACCGTATTTGCTCGTTTTGTAGCCCGGGCCCAAATTTCTTTAACCAAACTCACTAACCGGGCCCTTAACCCTCCAACCATCCGTTATTCAAGCACAGGCGCTTGTTATTTTTAAAGTAAAATTATACACAAAAATTATGGTATCTTTGAAGACAGTTATCTACCAGCGCTCAAAATTCAACAGCGTTGTGACAAAAGCGCTTCTTATCTCCTATTGTTCTCTACCACTGAAAAATCAGCTTTTACATCAGGCGGGTATTCAAGCACCGTCCCTTATGTATTTTTATGTTCTGTTCACACGTGCGGCTATTTAAACAGGCCCTTAATCAAGATCGGGCGGCAAAACGAGCATATACGGTATATATTGTATTTTAGGTAAAATTGACATGATTTTTTGGACTTAGTTATTTTTCATTTTACTGCCAACTATGGCGGCTTGCAAAAAAAATCAAGCAAATAAGCATATACTTGTTCTTGTCCCAATTCTCAAAAGTTCATTTAATATAAGCAATGATGCATGGATTCTGTCATCTTTGCTTGAATTATTGCTTTTATCTTTATGTGAAGGTTCCTCAAATCCATTCATGGCTTCATCAAACGTTTGCTGAAAAGTAATAGCACGATCTTAATCAAAAATTTCCCTAAATATGCAAGACTGTGAATTTCTATAGCAGTATTCAAAATAGCAAAACGGAATATCTGAAAATTTAAAAATTGTTGAATTCAAGACATCTGAATTATATCTTTTAATATGTGCTTGAATATAATTCAAAATGATAAATACAAATACTTGTCCACCCAATTTCCTGAAAGCAACATTATGTCAATTTCTTAATTTAGCATTCGATTTATTAACCATAAAAATTCTTTACACTATGATGTATTGACTTACTTTATACCAATAAGGCTTTTGCTGAGCATCTTTCGTTTCCCTATGCACAGTCAATTGTAATGCTGCGCGTAAGGCTGCCACAGCTCCTTCCCGTATTGATGGCTGAATATTGAATACATACAAAAAATATGTGATTTCTTGACAGATTACATATTTATATACCATTATTTCAAGAATATTGAATATGAATTATACACATTCGAAAGTTACAAGCAAATACCTTACCTTGGGATCACGAGCCACATTGAAAATATCATCAAAAAAAGGTTGAATCTGGAGATAAAAAATTGTCGGAGCATTGATCGCCAACTCTCGTAATATAAGAACCTGAAAAAAGATATTGATGTAAAATAACATCGAATGAACATTAACATGTATAAAGTGTTTGAATTAAATTAAAATCATAAAAACTGTGAAAAAGTTTGTTCCAGGGGCATCAGATACGACACTATAAAATTTCACTCAATTTGTATATGAATAACTTTTTTTATACAATTTTATTCACTTATATCTAACGATATGTGAGAGATACTATTATTTGAAAGGGCCAGAATCCCAATTTCTCACACCCTGGGTAAGGTAGAGGTATAGATGCGTAATCTGCAACATGAGTCCACATTTGAGTCTAATGCTTTACCCACTAGGCCAAAATTAATGTGAGAGAGAATTTTATAATATCAAACTATTTGGATATAAATATTTTTAATGAAAATCCAATACACAATTTCAGATGAACATGTTATAAGTTTAATATTCATGAATAACAATTGAATATGTTTGATATATAATTAGCTTACAAATTATAACAAACTTGTAACTCTAGAAATCACCCATATCTTTACATTTATAAATGCTTATAGTTATTCATATTAGTTTTGATTGCATTTTGATTCTTAATATAATATATAAATCTAAAGTGTGTTGATACCATTGAAAACATGGAAATCCCGGAATATGCAGTAAAATCAAGCCTTGCATTTATTTGTATTAATAAAACATGTGTACTGAAATACTTATATATTTTAATTTTTACAAAAATCATTTTATATAAATTTGGAATTATGTCAGGACAAAACTCCTCGGGAATCCTATTAAAAAATCTGATTTTGGTCCTAATATTAATGACTTCATAATGACATCAATTATTGGTCAAATTATATCGTCATTAATATCCAAAATCATATATAATATATATATTTCTTTAACTATGATGTTACGAACAGGAGATCAAAATTCAGAAGCGTCTCATAATCATCTCCATTCTAAGTTTAAATTCGCCCTCAGGCAAAATCGTAATATCTTGGTATTGCAACAATACGAAAAAGACTGCGGGTACTTACCATAATAAAGTATTGAGATATGATAAGTGTACTGAAAGTAGAGGAAGCTGAAGGATAGAGAGGCTGTTTAAATGACAGAAAGATATTGTGATGGATCTCAAATTTAATGATATAAATTAAGGAGTGTGACCTGTTAGGTTTCATATCATCATAATTCTACAAATATACATTTTGACACAAATAGAAGAAGAAGATGTGAAGAAGATGTGAAGACAGTAAATTTTGGATAAAAATTATCTATTCTACTATTCAATATAATAGAGTTAGGCAATATTACTGGAGAGGAATAATTCAATGCACCAGGATACTAAATTTGAAAATTTAATTGAAAAATTTTCCAAGATTCAAAGCTTTGAATGACATGATAGACTAGCAACTTTGAAAGATTCAGTCCTGCCAGTATTTCCAATGACAGGACCCTAACACTATTGTGAATATTTGAATAAGCCACATTGAAATTTGAAACTGCAAGCTCCATAGTGATAATATCAGACACTCATTTATAATGACCAAAGAAAATACCCTGAGGCACAATAACTTCTTGTCTTCTTATATAGCTGTACCAATTCACAAACTGTAAATATATTATTCCAAGCTGATGAAGTAGACAAACAATAGTAAGACATAATGTAGAATTGTAGTATATAAACGCAGCAACTTGGTAACAATATAGATCATTATTTTAAAAAGGTTAAAAAGAACTAAAAGAGTTTGAAAATGCAGATTATATAGACCAGGAGAGAACTCTTATTCAGTTCCTTTCTGCAAATAAAATATTTTGCTGTATAGTTTACCACAGGTATACATAGGCATAATTATTTTTAAACTATATATCATAGTTTATTTGTTACTTCACATTTCTCCGGTATTGCTACTCCGGTATTACTACTGCAATTTTTCAGGTTAACAATGTAATTCAATATATAACGTGAGAATGGCTTCGGGAAGTCTTGTGCACTGGCAAAGATGGCTAGCAAAATTATCATTAGTCCTCGTAGCTATTCTTCTTTTTGAAGTATACAAGGATGTCTTTTCTGGTTACGCAAGGCAAGGGGTCGCTTGGGTTCAACAGACAAAAAATATATCACAACCCGAACCTCAGAAAGCAGAGAAAAATGATGCATATGCAGAAAAACTCAACACAATCATCCAAAACTTGGAATATCTACAAAAACAAGGTCAACTGACAAATGTTCAAATACCAGGCAAACGTAGAAGTCCAGAATATGCATTGGAAGGCAGAGCAGTTAAGCCAGCACATATATCAGGCAAGGATTACAGTCCAGTACCATGTGAATTGGGAATGCAACCATCGGTTGACTGGGGATATAAAATTGTTCCTAGATTTCAGCTGAATCCGAATAAATTCCTATATCCAATACTAAAGAATGAACCAATTGATCAAATGATTGGTTTGAGACAAGCTATTCTTCTTGCAATAAGATTGAACAGGTATGCATGTACATGTTAATCTGCTATATGAATTAAAATATTTTCTTTGCTATTAAGATGATCTGTAAATGACAGTGACAGCTGACAACGTCAAATATTAGAATACGACAGTTATTGGCAGATTTTACAATATTGGTCGACACTTGTTGACACACACATTGTCTTAAATACTATTCAATTTACAGTCTGTTGGCCAACTTTGATTAATATTAATTGAGAATTAATGAAAATACACATCTGATATACTAGTTGAATTGTAGTTGAATATGTTCTTTCATTAGTTCTTAAATTTCATAAAATAAAACACAGTAGGCTATAGATCAGAGTTTCTAAAACTGGGGTCTTGTCCCCTCACAATTGAAGACCTTCACAAGATATAATTTGTGATTACTAAATTAATTTGAAGTAAACTGACTGCAATTCTTCGACTGTAATGAATTTATTCTTTTACTTCCATTTCTTGGCTTGTTTATTAGGCTATTAAATACGGCTCAAGAGGCACAAGTTTTGACTGTCTTTGGAAAGGGGCGTATTGGATGAGAATGACTAGTATAGATCATAATTTTGCAATAAAATAGAGTCATTTTGAAACACTCAAAAAGAAACTATTTTGAAGGCAAAATTATATTATTGAACTATTCAGATTTCTGATGTATATACATGTTCCATAGAAACAAAGAAATCCTAAAGTTTATTTTTCATATAATTTATCACTTGTCTCAATTCTGCCTAGGACTCTGGCTATTCCATATTTTCATAATCACAATTATGGCGGAGTATCACAATACAACCCAAACCTTCCAGCATCATTGAAATTAAACATTGAAATACTCAGAAGATTTGTTTCTGTTATATCTGTGGATGAATTACAGAGAAAATGTGATGGAAAATTTGACGTGGCATTATTGACAGGTACATCATCAACTTTATATCATATAGTAAGGCTGTAATTATTAGGTTCTATTTTTCACCAATCCAATTTAGTCTGCTGGAACTCTCATAAAACTAGTTTAGAACCTAAACATCATATTTTGTTGCATATAACGATGACGTATGGATTGTGTTTCGACAAATTGTTGTTGAGGTGTATATCTTGGTATTTACCGGTATGTGACAAAAAATTCTGCTTTTGAACTACTGGACCAAGTGCTTTTATTATTAAATCTTAAAAACTGGGCCACTATTCAATTTTCCACTGACTGGGTTTAGTGAGTTCATGTTCAATGACTAGCTCAAGAGATTTGTTTATTAATTACTCTTACTTTTGACTATAAGTCTTTCGGAGTTGAATAAAGGTAAAAAATAAGAAGATTTAAAAAGACTCATTATTAAATGGTTAAGATTAGGTTTTTTGTGCATAGTATAGTATGACTAGCATGTTTTGGTTATTGGGCCACAAAAAAATACACGACAAATATTGTAATAACGAGAAATTACTGAAAATTCTAAATCAATTTGTCAATTGTCAAGGAGATCTGTTCCAAATTTATTTCGGTATGGACCAGTCTAAAATGGAATCAAAAAACTATTTCATGCATTATATGGTTTGTTTTATTGAATCCTATAAAATAATTTAGCTCTTATGTCCAAGATGTGAGTTTGGTTTAGTTTGGGTTGGAACGCCTATCTTTAGTATAGGATTACCAAATAATGAATTATAAAAGGTACAAGAAACAATAGTAAATCAGTTTTGACATTCCTGATAGTGCATTATTGAAAATAATGAGGAATCAGATTACAATCAAAGTCAAACTTCATGTCATGCACTGCCAAAGCAATCAAGGTGTCAATCAAAAGTACTTCTAAAATATATCATTTATATAAAAGGTCACACCGACGTCTCTCCTGGAGTGGCAACTCTGCTTAAAGCACAATCAGAAGTTCAAATGACAATGCTCAATACACTCAACACGTCTGTAGAGACAGATTTCAAGTATGTATTATTGAATATGTTATAAATTTCGATTGTCCAAGTGTAACTTGAGAACTGAGAAGCTCAAAAAAATGAGGCAAATCTTAAAAAACTGGTTACAGTACTAATGCTAATAATGCTATCTTATACATACAATTAATATTGGTCGAATCGTTGATTGCCTATTCACAACTTAATAGATATTTTAAAATACCCTGCCTTTGTTCAAACCAATTGTGAAACAAGGATAATATATCGTCACAAAAATACCTATATGTACTCAGGTTTCATCATATGATATTGACCAGGCAAGGTAATAACAAATATTATAGAAGATTGTTGATATTACATAGCAGACACAAACAAGTTTTTACTTGAAACCATTTGAAAATTTTTCTTTTTTTCAGAGTAAAATTCAGCATTCCAACTTATCCGAAAGGTTTAAAGAAAGGAGATAGAATCAGCATCATACCTAGAGATTTGGCAGATACATATCCAAAGTATGCTTATAATGTTAACTTTATTCTATATTTTGGTATATTATTCAAGTACTCAAGAGATTAGCAGTCCAATAGTTAATAAAAAAAATATTTCTTTTTCAGAGAGACTGACAGATACAAGTGTGCAGTTCATCCATTTCCTCTATCATTATTTGATGTTCAGTTATTTCTTCGGAAAACATTGAAGTTACCAAATCATAAAATGAATATTTTCAAAATGAAGGTATAACTTTATGATTTTGTAGCCACCAACATAAATTATGACTAGTATGAGTATGACTATTAGTGTTGTTTTAAAAAGATCCAAGGTTGACTTCATATAATATACAGGGTGACTCAAAAAACAAAACCCATAAATCCCTTAATGGCTTTTATAATAATGTAGTAAATTCACTTGAACCTCTTTTCGAGTATGATTGTACTCAAGTTTCAGTAATCTAGAACGTTATGCACAAAAGTTATGTTCTCTCTAGAATATGTTCCTCACGACCTGGATTCTATAAAACTTTTGTATAAATCAAACTAACAAATAGATTGTGACAAAATTGGGCTTTAAAGTACTTTTAAAATTTTTGTCGTTTTTCAGGATGAAGTTGTATATTCAGCAATCTGGTACTATACTCAACCCCCTGCATTTGTGCATTCCCTTGCAACTGAGATAACGGAAGATTTAATGAATGCACAAGAAATAGGTGGAGGGATATACAATTATATGTGCTTGAACTACCACAAGCATTCAACAGGTAAGATGAATGAAAATGGAGATATCACAATAATGAGTACTCCTGTAATATGTGTACCAGGTTAGGGTTAGGGCATAATTTTATTATGATTTTCCTTATTTTAGTTCTGTTACGAGTTCAGGGACTGTCTGTGTTAGCCAAGTGAATATACCCCATAGTTTTCAGGCCCTTTACACAACTTGATGTAAAATAGGCAAACAAAATTAGTTATCTCCATATTGGTACACATAGTTCTGGAGCGCGCAATATTGGATATGGCTTTGAGTTTGAATACTGCCATTTCCACAGATTTAGATTTAACATTTTGAATATTCCAAAACAAAATTCTTACATCATGCTCCACTATTCTGATATAAACATTCGGGAGATAAGCATATTCAACTTTGATGTTGTTCTACGGCTTCTATCTTGATGACCAAATTATTCTTTTTATTACAAGATATCACTGAGTCTAATGCATATATATTTGATATGTTTTATTAGTATAATTTACCAGTTGTTTATATCTAATAATGAGTTTTAATGTCAATGCCTGCAACAATAAAAATACCACGACAATGCCATCTATCCAAGCTAAAGGTTTATTCAATTTCAGGTAATGACGGAACCTCAGGAGATGATGTTGATATGAACACGCTACGAAATATCATCAATAAAATGTTGGAAAAAATTGCGAAGACCAAGAAATCCCTCAAACTAAGTGGGATATATATTTCGTCACCCCTCTCAAAACAAGGACAAGCAAATGAATATAGATCAAACTTAAAAATATATGAATACAAAGAGGAAATCCCGGTATATTCGGGTGAAGATATTATAACAGTGTGGAAAAAGAACTATTATCACGGAGAGCGTAATGCACCAGAAAGCATGTGTTCTCTGCTGGAAGATGACACTCAAGATGTGTTATCGTTAGTTGAAATGCAAATTTGTACAAATGCAGCAATATTTATTCGATCTATTGGATCATCTTGGGCAGCTAATGTTCAAGTGAACAGAATAAAATCAGAATATTCTGAACTTGACGCGAGTATAAAAGGACTTATGGATGAATATCATAAATCCAAAACATGACCAAAATAAGAATTTCTTCAAAATGTATCTAATGACCAGTAATGTTGTTAATACATATGGTACTCTACATAATGAAATATTCGGAATTTGTGAGCTTATATTGTTTTATGTTTTAATATTATAGAAATAAAACATAAATGGTTTCAAACAATTCCCAATGCAATATCTTAATTAATTATATTACTAATTTAAAACATTGTTGTATGAAGAAGATATTATTTGGAGATATCAGATTGAACATATTTGATAACAAGACTGACATAAGTTTTAATGAAAGCAATCGCAGAAATTTCGATGAAGCATAGCTGACATTGCAGGATTTCTATGAACTATGATTTTCCTTTATTAATAAGAAACAAATTCATGTTTTCGGAAACAAGCGGAATGAGCCTGTTTCAGAACGCTCAAAATATATTAAAGTCATAGGGTTTACTTCCATACAAGATACAACAGTTATGAAAACTCTAAATTGGGTCCTAAACAAAGTGCATTTTAGATACAACGATTTGAGTTTTCCACGCATGGTTTTGGGTTTTTAGCAATGTCATGACGCTGTTGCTTCTGAAACTGAAACCGTGGTGAATATTAATGCAAGAGTTTGAATTGAGTTTCCAGTTTAATAAGTTGAGGACAAGGTATACCTAATCAAATTGATGGACAGATATGGAAGATATGAAGTTGATCTGACTTTTGTTGTGTTCAAAATTGATTGGCATATTGCTATTTTCATTTGAAAATTCAAATTCAAGAAGTGTAAGTATGAAGGTACATCATTCAATAACTACTAAGCAAAGTAGACTTATGCATTTCATCATACTGGGTCTACTAGGCTCTTGAATAAGGCTTACAACAACTGCAATGTGATATTTTTATTACATTAGCTTCCACTTACTGCGCTGTGTCTTCGTCCTTCATTCCTTGGTGCCCCAATCCATTCGATAGCTCGACGTACTTGAAATTCAATATATTCAGTTCTGTGGTTGCCACCTGCTGCAGCCAACCGTCCAAGTGCTTGTGCAGCCATTTCCATAACGACTGATAATGAAAGAATTATTCATTAACACATTTATATTTTCACTTGAATTTTTTGGTTTTCGTTTTTTTCTTTTTCTTGATTTACAAATGCAATATTAATATCAGGCTGCATTAAAATTTATATTAGATGAAAACTTTTTTAAAAAAAATAGGCAGAAGTGGTATGAACCTAAAAAAAGTTACTGGTAGTTAATAGTAATCACTGGGTTAACTGTGCGGTCCGCCATAATTATTAAGCAAAATAAATGTCGTATTCAATATGAAATATATGATATAAAAAATATTTTGTAGATTATGAGTACAAAAATGTATATTTTCAAGTTATTTTATTAATAAAATGATTACTCTGAGACTGTAAATTTTAGACTATAATTTTGTATGATAAATAAATTGAATATACACAAAGATAAGCAATAAGATTGTTTATATACCAATTCCAGATATATTACATTTCACAAACCAAAAATTTGCTTGATAAAGGACCTTTGCAGTGGAAACTCATATGACAAACAATATGGTTAAATAGCTTTTTTGTTTTTATTTTGCATACTATCATTTAGTGTTAATCATTACAAAATATCTTAGAATTATACTGAAAACAATTGAATTTTAATAATATTTATCTTATTATAGTAAAAGATTAGCTTACCCACATCACTGGATGGAAATAAATTTCTTAAATAATTTGCAGCTCTGTAAAGTGGAAAATGGGTTCCGTCTTCCACTCCAATTTGACTCACTGAAAGCAACACAGAAATAAAATCAACAAACACAAAATATTATGTTCCAGCCTGTTGTCAAGTAATAAAATACATGGTACATATGAACATTTGGAGAAAATCAAATTCAACTCAGCAATGGATACCTTGGAAAGTGGAAAAATAATGAGAAAAAATATTTGGTGAAATAGTCTACTACTGTACAATTAACAATCAAGTTCATAACATTAGGGATTGGAGTGTTGTGCCATTATTGTTTCTTGTTATAGTATTTCAGTTTTAATTGAAAAGTTTGAAAAATTAAAACAGTTAAAATCCACTACTTCTATGATATATCCACGTAAAGTTACCTATAGCTAGTATTCCTCCTTTCTTTTCATTGTTATCAGAACTTGACATCATTTCAAATATTTGATGATTTAATTCATTCATAAACTTTGCAGCCTGTTCATTCGCCAACTCTCGTACTTCTACAAGAATGAAAGAGTCTGTTTTCCATCAAGAAAAATATACAGTAACATGTAGATATAGCTGAAGACTTAAAATTTGTGTTTTTTACAGGTTTCAGAATAATAGTCGTATTTTCAAATCACAAGCTTTAGGAATCAGAATAACTACAGATCTCCAATGTAGGAAACCACGGAGTTGTCAAATAAATCTAAAAGTGATATACTAAGCATAAAGTTTGGTATTCAAAATTATGTTGAATAAAATCAGGATTCAGGTTGTGCTTCCAATGACTAAGAATCTAGTGAATTTCTTAAAACTTATGAAACAATAAACAAGTTTTCGCAGCTGTAAAATGGGCCAAATAGAATAGATAAAGAAGAAATTAATATATACAACCAATATAAGAAGTTTCAGAGGCAAGGAAACGCAATAATAAACAGAACAAAATCATAAGTTACTCCAAATATATGTCGTATATTCGAACGTCTAAAAATTATAATACTTCTAATTCGATAGCATATTGAATGCTTTTCTGAGTAATTTAGATAGTATTGTTTGAAATTCCAAGATACGTGTTGAACAAGCACATAATACCAAGTAGTGAATTATTTTATCTTTGTGAAGTGAGGCAATGAGATGAGATAATATTAGATATCCTAATACCAACCACCTACCAGTGTTGATGTAATGCTGAAGTGATAGAGCAGTGTTGAGTCTTGTTTCCTCATTTCTGCTTTTTAGACCTTGAACAAACTGTTGCACGGCAGACATTATTTCTGTGTTGGCTTTCTACCAAACTCTCTCAACTGAAAAGCGATAAAAAAAAATATGAATCAATAAAATCTTATATGATTCTCCTATTTACCTAATTGAAATTGAGTTAAAATTAACTTTCCTGTTTGTAAATCTAGAAGAAAGCAAATTCAAACCAAATCGAAGCAGCAAAAAAAAAAAATCTTACTTTGGTAGTTACAATCTACAAGGTCCTATATTCTTCACTTGATCCAAGAACCAACTTTGATATCAGAATTCCCCGGCATCACAACAATCTGGTTTAGACCGATAACATACATACATCTTGCATAAAAATTAAAAATATAACAAAATTTTTGCAATTTTATAGTAATTCGAGGTACTGAGTTCTTCTTTACAATATATTATGAAACAAAAAACTTGGAACTATGCTGTTATTGAGTAGTGTTCAATAGATGAACAAAGAGAAATATATCACACTTTGTATTCCTCCATTCACATATCATAAAAATGAGGACGTTTCAACAAATACTACATTACGGTACGCAATTACGGTACCTTCCAGTTTGCACCATATCCATGAAAACAATTTCCTTGAACCCACCAATTTGATCACATTCTCAAACAAAGCAAAATGACTTAAACAAAACCCACAAACTAATATAAAAACAAAGTAAAGTCTTGGATGTTGATAAATTGTCAAAATCGTTTATATCACAGTGATATTAGAAAACATAATATTTAGAGATTCGAAAATTATCAGCTACTATCTCTGCAAATGCAATTGCATCAGAAAACATTACGATCATGTAAGGCATTTTAAAATCATACTTCAAAAACTACTGATTTGATTAAATTATCTAAATATTGGCATTAAAGAAGGCAGTGGACAATTATCGGGTTGAATCTCTTCAATGCAAAAATATATTAACATAAGTGATGATCTGACATACAGTTAATGAACTATGCCAAAACATTATATATATCACTGAACTTTTATCCTTAATCGTTTCAATTAACGTTTAAACAGACTAATGATAATTTTGATTTCCAAGTTACATTCATCAGTAACATAGGACCTTTTCCTCAAGCAGAAAGAAGCACCTCGATAGAATAGGTATCACAAAAAATATACCTGGTGACTGGTGACGATGAAAATACCTCCATAGTAAAACATATATCTAAGTACCTATACAAATAAGCAAGAAGTCTAAAACTGATTATATAACTTTTCTTACTATTCTACTATGAATACTGAAGGAACATAACATTTTATAGATTTCTCTTTAAATGGAAGAAAGGCAAGAATACAGTTTTTATTACTATTATACAGTAATAATCACAAATCATTATTTAATAGTAATCACTATGGAGGTGAACGTCTGTTATTCAACTGTCTCTGAAGTTTTTTGTTCATAACTTTCAAATCTCTTATTTCAGTTTCAAGTATGTGTATTCGTTCAGCCTGTTGGTCAATGATTTTATCCTTCGATTTTTCAAAAAAGTCTCCTTCAAAAATTTCTTGAGAGCTTGGTCTCATTTTAGGATCATGATTCAGTAAGGAAGTCAACAATTTACCCAGCTGTGGATATTCAAGAATAAACTCGCTTGGAACAATTTGATTACGTAATTGCTTGAGATGGCTTGCTCTTTCCATTGCAGTTTCAAACGGTGTCCACAATTCATAGGCAACAATAGCGAAACTGTACATATCAACTTTTGCATCATACACATCTGCAAAAAGTTGCTCTGGTGCAGCATACGATGTTGTACCAACGCCCGAAGTGTGACTGTCAGTACGACGCAAACCCATATAAAAAGTATTTTGACTACTATGATTTGAAACAGTGGAATCAACTGGACTTGCAAAATTGTTTTTCGCGAGACCGAAGTCTCCAAGTAATAAATGAGGTTTGCCATATCCGGTTAAATTTAGAAATATATTGTGGGGTTTAACATCTCGATGAATCAAATCTTTAGAATGAATAAAGTTAAGCGCAGATACTATTTGTCTCATGCAATGTAAAGATGTGCCTTCATGAAAGCTTTCATTCCTATGAAAAATATTCTTATTCCTCAATGAAAGCCAGCGTTTCAAAGATGTCTGACAAAGTTCCATTTGAATGTTAAGCACCAGCTTTCCCTTCCTTAAATTAGAATGAACGAAACTTTTAGATTTTTTCCCTATTGCCACACAATCCAAATCTAATGAATTTGTAGATAAACGATCCTGAAAAGTGCTCAAAGACTGAGTACGTACAGGTTTAGTGAAATCTCCACGATTAGCTGCAGGAGGCAAGTCTTTGGTAATAATAAAACTTTTCACTCTGTGCATATTCATATCTCTTCGAACGCCATGAGTCAAGATAGTTTCCTTGGGAGGTGACTCGGGATTCGCCGCTGATGATCTGTCATTGTAACTCGTATCAATATGACGAGGCTTGGAGTCTTGGAACACAAGATCCTCATCAGACTGAGGAGGAGAAATAGAGAAATGAATCTTTTTGTTTTGAACACTCGCACTTGTTTCAGATGCACTGCTGCCACCCCAAAACTTGGACAATTGGATTTTAGATCTATTTTTCTTATTCTTTTTCAAACCATTTTTGGAAAAGCTTTGAAAAGGTTTTGAATCATTATCACCAAATGAGTAAGAATCATCATGAGATGAACCATTATTTGAGCATTGTAAGTTATTCACATCCTCAAGTAAATCTCTTCGTCCCCGAACTCTCACCTCTTCTCCAACATCAATATGCTCAATCCAAGCACCATGATAACGAACAATGTTTTTGTGACGCAAGCCAGCCAGTATACGCACTTCTCTAAGCAGTATTTTATCACTCTCGCCAACTAGTGAATCGCGCAAAACTATTTTTTTGATAGCATACTCTTGTCCATCAATCTTGCTTCGCGCACGGTAAACACTGCCGTAACCACCAGAACCCAGTTTACCCAATTCGTCAAATTCTTGACCATACCTTGAAGTATCAAAGTCGAAAACTTTTGTTTGGTCAGGAATGATGGGTTTGCAATCCATCAGTCCTCCAGAATCAAGCAGTTTTGTAATATCACAGTTGGCTGGAAATGCTGGCTTTGAATCTAGCTTCATGATAGATGATTGTATAATGTTGTACAGTGTTTTTTTATATTGAGTATGCACCGACGTAAATTCTTCCAAATATGCAACGGGAGATATAATCCCCAAATTTGCGAGTTGATCACACAGAATAAAATAAAGTTTTTGTGATTTCACTTTATCAGTTTCATACAGTGAGCATAATTGTTCAAGAAGTGAGCTAATCAACAATGATTGCCTTATAATTGGAACATACTGACTTTTTACTTTTGATGAGGAAGAGCTCAGAGATGATCCAGATACTGTTTCACTGTTATGTTCTAACAAGTCAGAATTGTCAAATTCAGTAACTGGTGCAGCATCGCATCGAAATATTGCAAGTGTGTTTGGTATTGACTTCTCCATCTTTCCACAGTATAGCAGTAACACGATAGCTTATCAGCCAGAATAGACAATAGAGAAATCCACAAATATGCAATTCCTGAACATCTCCATTACTGCATTATGTAAAAGATCCCAACAAGACTAAATGAACAACTTAAATATTCATTCTTCTGTTCGTAGGGAAAATACAATTAACAATTACCGTACTGAATTAAATTCAACAAAGGTTTAAAATATTGAAATGAGTCATACCGGTACTGTCAGAGATGATTGAGCTTTTTAAAAGTTATTCCAGTTCTTGAAATGCAGATTTGGTAACAATGCCTAGCTATAGTCTATCTCACTGCTGTACCGTACTAGCGTACGGCCCTAATTTATACTCTTTTTGACATTGTGATACTGCATTATTGACAATCCCTGCATTTTATTTGCAAACATATCAACATATTGGCCATTTTCCCGGTCTCTTTCGCCATTTCTGTGTATTGTTTTTTTGTGAGCGTTATGTGTTGTGTAGACAAAAAATCGAAATAAAATTGTATTGTATATGCATTTTTGATATACTTGTTTTACATTCTTTTGTACTTTTTCCAACAGCTATAATATTGCAATTCCCAGAATACATTAGACTACTATTCTACCAGAATACAGTTTTTGAAACACTATAAAAACTTTTGAATTTGTAGCCGACATAAAGAGGATAACTGGATAAGGTGAATCTAAAACAGAGTCCAGGAGTCGGGTCTGCAGCCGCGGGTGGAGAGATACCGGTATACAATACCGGTATTGAGTTATTTCAGTATTTATATTAAAACTAGGTCTTGTCTGTCTGTGTCTGTAGGTTATGTTTTCAAAAAAGAATTAAAACAGTTTGTGTTTTCAAAAAAGAATTAAAAAATATTCTAAACTCAAATCACCGTATTCAATACTGGTATCCAGAGCAACTTCATCACGGCATTAGACTTGCACTCACTGCAGCAATGTATTGGATCACCTTCGCTTCAATACCGTACCGTATATTTTTAACCGATCGCAGAGGTTTTGAAGATTTATAATACGGTATTTATTTATTTAATATTAAGTGGCCCTTGGTCTTGAATCTCCAGCAAGGGTCGCGACCCCATTTACACAATTAATCAATAATTAAAGTATAAACAAAATAATATTTTTGCATAGTTGATATATGCGAAACTTCAGTTGAAACCTGCCTAAGTAACTGAAGCGCAGACAAACTGTGGTACATAGTCATAGAACGAAGCTGGTGTTATTTTCTCCGCAACTCACGGACCATATGAAATGTTTTCGCGTGGGATAGATTCCGTAGTATTATATATTTACGCTGTTATCGAACACGAAATGGGCCTATGGATTGTTTTGTTATTTTTGTTGTTGTTGATCATCATTTTAGTTTTTTTTCTCTTGTTATGAAATTCTTAATAACTTCTGTAAATATTACTTTTATTTTATTTTTCAAACTTTCTCTGAGCACTATGGGACCGATGTTTAACCAAAATTTTGTTTTTTTAAACAAGAACAATCTTTATTCCGTATAGATCAGACGCCGACCTTTCTGCAAACTCGATCCTCAGATGTATTGCTTAATTGCAATCGCCAAAGTTGATTTATTATCACAAAAACACATCCAAACGTTGATTTTTTTACAGCCGCTTTTACGTTGTAGGTTTGTTACGTTATTATGTAAAAATAACGTATTTTCAATTGCTGGTGTATTCACTTCGTATATATTGCTTCACTCACACTGCACATGTGCGGTATGATTTGATCTGAGTTTACTTGTATCAGAACACTTGCGATACAGAAGTGAACGCTGGAGCGGTGTTAATATTTTTGAATACTTATGCTGTATACCGGTGCAACATAATAGCTAATTATTATTGCCAGTATTCCAAAGGCAGTTCAATCGTATTTTAGCGGTCCTTTATAGTGCTGTCGATCGCCGTTAAAACCCCGCTTCGTTACAAATTTGTTAGAACGTGGGTGACGACAATTGACTTATATTTTGGGGTGCTCCTGAAGTATTCGTACCAAGATGGCGCACAACCTGAACATAGTATGTGTACCAGGTTAGGGTGGTTCAGACTGTGCGTCATCTTGGTACGAATACTTCCGGAGCGCATATTTTGGATTCTGTTCAATACATGACGGCGAATGCTTCATAAAAACTTTGAAGGACTCTACTTACCCATCAATTCTACTGACACAATATGACAATATTTTTGTCAACTTAACTTTGATGAAAAATCCCGATTGCAAGCAGGATATGATTTTCTCAACGACTTTTTGGGTTCTCGGACTTGGTGGGACGATTGTTTTCTTGGTTGTTACTTTTATTATTTTTCTTATCATTCGTGCTATTTCTCGAAGAGACTAGCTTTGTGGAAGAAGAGCAGTGTACTATTTTCGTTAATACACTGATTATCCTAGCCGTGGTGAACATTTTAGCGACTATTCTTTCAATTTTAGTGTGGCTCGTAATTCACGGCCCACGCTTTTGCGAAAGTAAGTGTTGCTCTCAACCTAGCAATACCGACCAAGCAATAAAGGAACCTGAACAATCTGCTCGTATTCAATATATCACCACCCTACCGACATGTTCCTGAATTACCGGAATTAAATTGAGAACAACGAATAGAAAACCCGAATTGTATCAGTCCAATAAAGCCATCAAGAATCAAGATACGATCGCCCATTACCAAAGACATTAAATCGCATCTCCTCCATTAGACGTGATAACTTAAGAGTTAGACAGTTTGCTTCATCAAATTCCGTTGCAGAACATTAGTTTGTTAGTTCTATTAATTTGGGCAAATTCGGATTGAGAACTGGACATCGACAGAACAATATACATTTCGTCACGCTAATAACCGAATTGTGTAAGTCATTTTTGGCGATTTTGAGATTTTTATAAAATAGGTATTTATGTAATGCTGCGCACCTGTCTGTTAACTCAGATTATATTTTAAGAATTCCGAAACCCGTAAAGATGGAGATTCAGTAAGACATTCACATTTGTGCAATTGTTTCGTCATAATGAATTATCATTGGTAACGCAGGACTATTGTGACGTCACAAAGACAAAATGACCTCGGCGAAGTATTTTCGAGTTTTTACATCTCGGATTCTAGCTTAGAGCGTATTAATTAGAATTTATACTACAGACCAGTGGCGGCGCGTCAATAGGGCCAACCGGGGCAATGCCTCGGTTGTTTTTTCGGTATAATAAAAAATATTCGAAAAATACCTCAATATCGGTTGCACAGACTGTCTACCTACACTAGCCATATTCTCCCGACATGGTTCATTTTTCGCTCGCAAAGCCTTCGCCGAACGTCGACGGGGCGACGCCGATTTTGCCCCGGTTGCTCATTGTATATCGTATTCTCTCTTTTATCTTCCACTCGCCGCGTTTGTCTTGTTTGTTTTCTGTTTCTTTTACTAAATCATCGGGGCCGATCGGGGCTAGCCCCGAAATTATGACGACACAATGCCGACGTTTCTTACAACAACGTTTTGACATATTCACGCATTCCTTCTCGTTCGTTGGTTGCTTGAAGAGTTGATAGTTTCCTCGCCTTCGTTTTTGTCGCTTGTTTCGCTATTTGAATCAGTTAGAGACCTTTAGTCCATTTGCTTTCGATTTTCCACATTCCTTTTGAGCTCCTCACTTCTTTCCGGCTTCGCATTTCTTAGCCTTAGACCTCATAATGAATAAGGTTGATGCACTACTTCGCACTCCGTTTTCGCAGCTGCCGCTGGAACAAAAATTAGAGGTACAACGTCTTGGGCCTTATCAACCAAAAAATTGTTCACTGGAACAATCCCATGACGGAGGAAAGCGTCGGCGTACATTCTGCGCAGAAACTTGGTATAAAAAACACGAATGGTTGTGTTACAGCAATGACATTAAACAATGTTTAATGTCATTGGTTACAGCGAGGACAAAAATGCACTTTTTTGTTTTTATTGCCTACTTTTTGCTACCGCCCGTGACTTACGTTGGTGTAAATTTGGTTTTAGAGATCTTAAACATCTTTCCGAGCGTGCCAGGGATCATCAATCTTCTATGGAGCATCTGGACAATGCAGTAAAATACCGAACATTCGGAAATGTTAATATTGCAGCACAGTTGGATGAAGGACGCGCGGTTTCTATTCGTCGGCACAACCAAAACGTTGAGAAAAACCGCCATGTTCTCGGTCGATTGATAGATGTTTTGAAGTTCATTGGTTGTCACGAGCTGTCCCTCCGTGGGCACGATGAACGGGCTGGCTCTTCTAATAGAGGGGTATTTTTGGATATGGTGGAATACACCGCATCCCTAGATACAGTATTGAGAGATCATCTTGATGCCGCAACTGTTTCGAAAGGGACATCTAAGGATTAGGCTTGCACGTAATTTACGGATTTACGGAATTACGTAATTATTTGGAGTTACGGAAGGGAAGTTACGAATTACGTAAAGTCGTAATTATTGCATTGAAACGAGCTTTCTTCAAAGCAGTCAATTTCGTCTATTGCGAAAAATGAAAGCTCAACAAGTAGAAGAAGTTAGAGTTCCGGTATTCGCAGCCGTTTTTCTCTCTCTTGTTACGTAGGTGAAGGAAGGCATGACGCGTTGCCATTTAGTAACCTATTATCAACTTCTCTGGCATGGCCAATGTAAATTATTAACGTAGTTAAGGGGGAAGAACTGAGTAGGGCCGTTTGACGCCAACACACCTGGTTTTAACTTCTCCCGCAACTTAACCGTAGATAAGGGATAGAATTGCGTTGAGACGGTTGACGCCAACACACCTGGTTTCAACTTCTCTCGCATCTTATCTAGCATGGCCATGACCAATGTACATAATAACCGTAGATAGGGGGAAGAATTGTGTTGAGACCGATTGACGCCAACTCACCTGGTTTCAACTTCTCTCGCATCTTATCTAGCATGGCCATGGCCAATGTACATAATAACCGTAGATAGGGGGAAGAATTGTGTTAAGACCGATGGACGCTAACACGCCCGGTTTCAACTTCTTCGGGTGAAATGACTAATGAACGCAGGAGATCAATCTATCAAACACGGTCTATCAAACATTTGTATCCATTTTACTTCTATTTATTATTTACTTGTTCCAGTTTTCCGTTACTTATGGTATATATGTTCCGTTTCTATTTTATAGTCACGCGTTTAAATAGTGGGAATTCCCCACCAAGTGTGGATTAGCAATGCTTAACCATTCTTTATTGTTAATATCAACACTTGATATATGAACATGGAATATCAAACTGTTTTTGGCTGTTTTATTTCAGACTTGGGGTATAAACAGGAAAATATCCATAACCTTTCAACACGACGATCTTGTTTGTGAAATTTAACGAAGAGCTTTCGCGACGAATTGGAACCAAATAAGCGAAAAGAGCGATTGATCACTCGCGCCAATACCTCGCCGTGATAATTAATGTCGCGCTTATCAAATAGCAATATGGCGAAAAAAGAGAGATTGCGTAATGAACCAAAGCAACTTCGTCTTCTCGGCATCGGTAAAGCGATTGAGACGGCAGAGAAACAGCAAAACGACGGATTCCTCGCGGACCGCCGAAAATTTAACTGCTATCATATATAATCAAATATGAGCCAGTGTGTTTATTCTGTGCGAGATCCATTTTCTATTACAAAATCTTGATGTTCTGTTTACGGTCTTATCGTTATATATCAGTCCGGACTTGGCCTTGCTCATGATGTTTTTCACAATTCCTCTCAATATTTCGGCCATATATGATTAACTGTCTTACCAAATGCAGCAACTTATTTTGATTTATCGTCGACTTGAATACCACCGGCACTCGACCAAACTTGTGTCAATCTTGGCCGATAGGATCGCCGACTTGAGTTAGCAAATAAATGTCGTGAGTGTAAAATAAATGTCACAAAATGCATTGTTTTGCGATATAACTTTGTATTTTTGGAGAAGGCATATCATATAAGTTCGATATTTAAATTATACGCAAATGAATAATATTTGATCTAAATTTATCGCTAATAATGTTATAAGCATTCAGTCCGCGAAATGATTAAATGTAAAATGAAGCATGGTAATCGGAATATCGTCAATAAGTCGACATCAATAATTATCATTATAAAATGCTAACAAGGCAGTAATGTCGGATAATGCAGGAGACGCTGCAAAAACAAGTCTTCGTCGCGAGGAAATCGCAAGTATAATCAAACGAGAGAATACGCTCGTCGTTGGTTAATAAATTAGAAACCCGTAATTTTTATTCAGTACTAAGGTGATTTTAAAAAACTATCGTTTCCATAAATATCCGTATACCAGTGTTGGTAATGATAAAATAAAATTGATCGCATAAAAATGGGACGGTTAATTTGCGAAGGTGATAAAGGAAAACCAAAGCTAACACAAAAGATAAAAATCAGAATAAAATTATTTTGAATTCACTCCTTGATATTTGTCTTTAACATCTGCCGACGGCGTGTAGTACTGCCAAGAATATGAAAACCCAACTTCAATGTCCCATTCGGAAAAGAAGTGGATTCAATTGATTGTTATGGTAGGTTTAAATGCGTGGAAAAATATCGCAATTACGGGGTCATTACGTAATTGATTTTGCCGTAATTACGGAATTGATTTTTGTCAATTACGTGCAAGCCTACTAAGGATATCCAAAATGATTTGCTCGACTCAATGTATAAAATTTATTTACAACATTTGGCTCTGGAAATTGAGAATTGCCAGTTCCTTTCGATTCAGTCTGACGAGACAACTGACATCACGTGCGTTTCCCAACTGGCTGTGATTTTTCGGTTTGTGAAAGATGGTAAACCTACCGAGAGATTTCACAGCTTTGTACCAATCGTTGATCGCACGGCTTGCGGGATATCGGCTGTACTGAAAGAAGTGTTACAGCCTTACAACGCGAAGTCAAAATTGATAGCTCAAACTTATGACGGCGCGGCAGTCATGAGTGGGTCGAAACATGGTGTTCAAGTTTATATAAAAGAAGATTTTCCTCATGCGCATTTTTTATATTGTTATGCACACCAATTTAACCTCGTTATTAAAAATATGTGTCTTGATACCCCTCTCGTCCATATATTTTTTGCAAATGTTTCGGGGTTTTCTTCATTTTTTTCCGTTTCGCCGAAGCGTTTTGCATCATACACATCTGCAAAAAGTTGCTCTGGTGCAGCATACGATGTTGTACCAACGCCCGAAGTGTGACTGTCAGTACGACGCAAACCCATATATAAAGTATTTTGACTACTATGATTTGAAACAGTGGAATCAACTGGACTTGCAAAGGCGAGACCGAAGTCTCCAAGTAATAAATGAGGTTTGCCATATCCAGTTAAATTTAGAAATATATTGTGGGGTTTAACATCTCGATGAGTCAAATCTTTGGAATGAATAAAGTTGAGCGCAGATACTATTTGTCTCATGCAATGTAAAGATGTGCCTTCCTGAAAGCTTTCATTCCTATGAAAAATATTCTTATTCCTCAATGAAAGCCAGCGTTTCAAAGATGTCTGACAAAGTTCCATTTGAATGTTAAGCACCAGCTTTCCCTTCCTTAAATTAGAATGAACGAAACTTTTAGATTTTTTCCCTATTGCCACACAATCCAAATCTAATGAATTTGTAGATAAACGATCCTGAAAAGTGCTCAAAGACTGAGTACGTACAGGTTTAGTGAAATCTCCACGATTAGCTGCAGGAGGCAAGTCTTTGGTAATAATAAAACTTCTCACTCTGTGCATATTCATATCTCTTCGAACGCCATGAGTCAAGATAGTTTCCTTGGGAGGTGACTCGGGATTCGCCGCTGATGATCTGTCATTGTAACTCGTATCAATATGACGAGGCTTGGAGTCTTGGAACACAAGATCCTCATCAGACTGAGGAGGAGAAATAGAGAAATGATCTTTTTGTTTTGAACACTCGCACTTGTTTCAGATGCACTGCTGCCACCCCAAAACTTGGACAATTGGATTTTAGATCTATTTTTCTTATTCTTTTTCAAACCATTTTTGGAAAAGCTTTGAAAAGGTTTTGAATCATTATCACCAAATGAGTAAGAATCATCATGAGATGAACCATTATTTGAGCATTGTAAGTTATTCACATCCTCAAGTAAATCTCTTCGTCCCCGAAATCTCACGTCTTCTCCAACATCAATATGCTCAATCCAAGCACCATGATAACGAACAATGTTTTTGTGACGCAAGCCAGCCAGTATACGCACTTCTCTAAGCAGTATTTTATCACTCTCGCCAACTAGTGAATCGCGCAAAACTATTTTTTGATAGCATACTCTTGTCCATCAATCTTGCTTCGCGCACGGTAAACACTGCCGTAACCACCAGAACCCAGTTTACCCAATTCGTCAAATTCTTGACCATACCTTGAAGTATCAAAGTCGAAAACTTTTGTTTGGTCAGGAATGATGGGTTTGCAATCCATCAGTCCTCCAGGATCAAGCAGTTTTGTAATATCACAGTTGGCTGGAAATGCTGGCTTTGAATCTAGCTTCATGATAGATGATTGTATAATGTTGTACAGTGTTTTTTTATATTGAGTATGCACCGACGTAAATTCTTCCAAATATGCAACGGGAGATATAATCCCCAAATTTGCGAGTTGATCACACAGAATAAAATAAAGTTTTTGTGATTTCACTTTATCAGTTTCATACAGTGAGCATAATTGTTCAAGAAGTGAGCTAATCAACAATGATTGCCTTATAATTGGAACATACTGACTTTTTACTTTTGATGAGGAAGAGCTCAGAGATGATCCAGATACTGTTTCACTGTTATGTTCTAACAAGTCAGAATTGTCAAATTCAGTAACTGGTGCAGCATCGTATCGAAATATTGCAAGTGTGTTTGGTATTGACTTCTCCATCTTTCCACAGTATAGCAGTAACACGATAGCTTATCAGCCAGAATAGACAATAGAGAAATCCACAAATATGCAATTCCTGAACATCTCCATTACTGCATTATGTAAAAGATCCCAACAAGACTAAATGAACAACTTAAATATTCATTCTTCTGTTCGTAGGGAAAATACAATTAACAATTACCGTACTGAATTAAATTCAACAAAGGTTTAAAATATTGAAATGAGTCATACCGGTACTGTCAGAGATGATTGAGCTTTTTAAAAGTTATTCCAGTTCTTGAAATGCAGATTTGGTAACAATGCCTAGCTATAGTCTATCTCACTGCTGTACCGTACTAGCGTACGGCCCTAATTTATACTCTTTTTGACATTGTGATACTGCATTATTGACAATCCCTGCATTTTATTTGCAAACATATCAACATATTGGCCATTTTCCCGGTCTCTTTCGCCATTTCTGTGTATTGTTTTTTTGTGTGCGTTATGTGTTGTGTAGACAAAAAATCGAAATAAAATTGTATTGTATATGCATTTTTGATATACTTGTTTTACATTCTTTTGTACTTTTTTCAACAGCTATAATATTGCAATTCCCAGAATACATTAGACTACTATTCTACCAGACTACAGTTTTTGAAACACTATAAAAACTTTTGAATTTGTAGCCGACATAAAGAGGATAACTGGATAAGGTGAATCTAAAACAGAGTCCAGGAGTCGGGTCTGCAGCCGCGGGTGGAGAGATATACAATACCGGTATTGAGTTATTTCAGTATTTATATTAAAACTAGGTCTTGTCTGTCTGTGTCGGTTATGTTTTCAAAAAAGAATTAAAACAGTTTGTGTTTTCAAAAAAGAATTAAAAAATATTCTAAACTCAAATCACCGTAACCAATACTGGTATCGAGAGCAACTTCATCACGGCATTAGACTTGCACTCACTGCAGCACTGTATTGGATCACCTTCGCTTCAATACCGTATATTTTTAACCGATCGCAGAGGTTTTGAAGATTTATAATACGGTATTTATTTATTGGACACGTAGTGGACATAACGATCGTTTCAATATTATGTTGTTGTTGTTCTTGTTCTTGTTGTTCTTGTTCTTTGACACGTTTTTAAAAAGTCGCTTTTCTCTTCGAATACTGGACCAATTGCTTTGAAATTTTCAGTGGTTAAAGATTAATTTTTTCGCTAGAAGGCTATTACTTTTGTTTATTCTTAAATTTTATATGAATCCTATGAGATATGATATTTCATACAAAATTTCGCGGTATTTATTTTTACTCATGGGAACACTGTTTTACACTTATTTCAAGCGGTTTCGCGATCGATTGTCTTGCTCAGTACTACAGCTACTGTAGGTCGGTACTGGTAAGTTGCCATACAGGTACCGTAACGCAGTGAAATTGACTTATTCCTTCCGCGGTATTACTAATGCTGCAATGCAAGTTTTATAGCCTATCGTATGCGGAACGGAATATCAGACCTACAGGTTCGGTACCGGTACTGGTAGCTCAGTACGTAAGTACGATACTGGTACTGGTGCCGGTACCGGTGTCTTACCACAATGAAATTACCGTAACTTATTCTTTCACGGTCCTACCAGTGCAGTAATGCAAGCGTTGTAGCACTTGTAGCCTACTATATTTGTTTATTTTGATGAGAGTCTACTGGAAACAACATAAAATTTGAAAGGGAAGAATTGTTCTGTGATCAATTATCTGTCCTAAAGTGTAAACAACATAAAATTTGCAAGGGAACAACTGTTCTGTGATCAATTACCGTATATGGCCTACAGTGTACAGGTAAGATGCTGGCTGACTGCTAACCGGTACTGGTAGCTCAGTACGTAAGTACGATACTGGTACTGGTGCCGGTACCGGTGTCTTACCACAATGAAATTACCGTAACTTATTCTTTCACGGTCCTACCAGTGCAGTAATGCAAGCGTTGTAGCACTTGTAGCCTACTATATTTGTTTATTTTGATGAGAGTCTACTGGAAACAACATAAAATTTGAAAGGGAAGAATTGTTCTGTGATCAATTATCTGTCCTAAAGTGTAAACAACATAAAATTTGCAAGGGAACAACTGTTCTGTGATCAATTACCGTATATGGCCTACAGTGTACAGGTAAGATGCTGCCTGACTGCTAACTCAGTACCGCTTGACACGTTTTTAAAAGTCGCTTTTCTCTTCGAATACTGGACCAATTGCTTTGAAATTTTTAGTGGTTAAAGATAAAAATTTTCTCCAGAAGGCTATACCTTTTTTTTGCTATGACGTCATCAAAATTATGTGACTCTACGTGTCCATATATTTGAGCATAGCTCTCTTGTTTAATATTAAGTGGCCCTTGGTCTTGAATCTCCAGCAAGGGTCGCGACCCCATTTACACAATTAATCAATAATTAAAGTATAAACAAAATAATATTTTTGCATAGTTGATATATGCGAAACTTCAGTTGAAACCTGCCTAAGTAACTGAAGCACAGACAAACTGTGGTACATGGTCATAGATTGAAGTTGGTGTTATTTTCTCCCCAACTCACGGACCATATGAAATGTTTTCGCGTGGGATAGATTCCGTAGTAGTATATATTTACGCTGTTATCGAACACGAAATGGGCCTATAGATTGTTTTGTTATTTTTGTTGTTGTTGATCATCATTTTAGTTTTTTTCCTCTTGTTATGAAATTCTCAATAACTTCTGTAACTATTACTTTTATTTTTCAAACTTTCTTTGAGCACTATGGGACCGATGTTTAACCAAAATTTTGTTTTTTTAAACAAGAACAACCTTTATTCCGTATAGATCAGACGCCGACCTTTCTGTAAACTCGATCCTCAGATGTATTGCTTAATTGCAATCGCCAAAGTTGATTTATTATCACAAAAACACATCCAGACGTTGATTTTTTCACAGCCGCTTTTACGTTAGGATAGGATAGGATTTACATATTTATCCCGGGGGAGAGGAAAGCCGATAAGACGGCTTATCCATATGGCGAACCACGGCCTCTCGTCCGGTTACCATTCCAAGTCGGGTATGGGATTAGTTTTTACTGTATTGTTTGTTTTCGGAAGCATGGACTTGGTGGTGGAGGAAGCCGTAACCGACCAGCGGTTACGTGAACCACCCAACGACGGCGAGGAGTCCAGCAATCCTCTCGCACATAACCATCCCTGCATGGGATTCGAACCTGCGAACCCACGCAGAGTAATTAGAGGTGCGGTGGCGAGCGTATTCCTAACGCTTAGCCCGTTGAGCCACACCGCCGCCCCACGTTGTAGGTTTGTTACGTTATTATGTAAAAATAACGTATTTTCAATTGCTGGTGTATTCACTTCGTATATATTGCTTCACTCACACTGCACATGTAGGGTATGATTTGATCTGAGTCTACTTGTATCAGAACACTTGCGATACAGAAGTGAACGCTGGAGCGGTGTTAATATTTTTGAATACTTATGCTGTATACCGGTGCAACATAATAGCTGATTATTATTGCCAGCATTCCAAAGGCAGTTCAATCGTATTTTAGCGGTCCTTTATAGTGCTGTCGATCGCCGTTAAAACCCAGGTCGAACTTAATCGATTAGGGGCAATATCAGAAGAAAAAAACAGCTTGATTCCATTTTAAAATTTTTTAAATATAATCCAGATACCACGAGGCGATTGCATGACGCAGCGACACATCGATCAAAGGGTCTCTTCGCTTATTTTTCTCGTGTTTCCAACTTTTCCGAATTCGTAACACTCCTGGGATTGTTATATTTAATATGGTTCGCAGTTTTAGAGGACCCAATGGTTTCGCTCGATTTTGTCTGAATTCTTAAAATGTGAAGAAGTTTTGACAATATGTCCCTATATAAACGCTCCTATAAAATATCGATTTAATATCATTATAATAACAACATCACTCTTATTAAAACACAGGTCGGCGTTTCTATCACAATCATTGATTCTTTTGAAATCGGGGACAAACGATACTACCTACAATATTAACTAGCGTCTATTACTTGAATGAGTTTTTTTTAGAAGAAAACGACCACGATACGTTCTAAATTGTTTGCAAATAAAAATTTATGTAATATAATATAAATATATCAGAGTGTAGCTTTATATAACAAAACCATCGAATGTATTTTTTAAAAGCCACCTCATTCATTCTCTAGTTATTTAATCACAATTTATCCTGTAGTTATTCCAAATTTAAAGAAAGTTAACGATAATATGATGTTATACTAAATAGAATGAGATTTGCAAATATTCGAATCAGGACATTCCGATTCGAAAATGAAATATTCAAAACTTGTATCCCTAGTTGTGGGCACTCGCTTGTAGTCTGCTTCCAAGCTCTTGGGTCAAGTTTATAAATGTGACTCCAGCTTAACACTCCAAACAATGCATGCTATAGCTTATTCAAAGCAGGTGTCCAGATTACTCACGAAACTCATACTAATTATTGGAAAATAAACACATTCAGACGTCAACATGACAAGCATATTTCTTTTCAATTACATTGTTGACAAGGATTTGTTTGGGCAATAATCAATCAAGTAAAGTATTGTACAAAATTACAAAAACTTCTATAATAGCAGAAACAAAAAATGGATATTTTGCAGCAGGACAAATGCCATTACTGTGATAAAGGTACTAAGTAAGTTTAAGGGCTGTTCATTTTGAACTCAATCAATATAGGCTTTAAGATGAAGTAAAAATGTCATTAGAATAAGACATATACTTGGTTCAAGACAAAATTTCTTCAATGATAGTCACCTAATGGTTGTCGACTTGTGGTCAATATTTTTACTTACAGGGCAAAATTTGACCACCTGACCTGAGCAATAAGGGTACAAAATGAACATATCTGGCATGCCAACATGCAAAATAGTGATTCCAGTTCATACACCAAAAAATTCGAATTTAGTACGAAATGGAACTTTTCGAAACATGTTAGAAATCATGTCATGAGTTGTAACAAAATTTGAACCTTAAGATTGAGAATCACTGGATTAAAAAAGTATGGAAAAATATTCAACCCAAACTGCCTTTGCTCATCTTCTATGCCTCTGCATGAAATACTTTTGGATTCTTGCTATAGTATGCTAGTATACCACTAACACAAAGAAGTAGTTAGTTACACATTACCCAACCCAACTAGGAAATTTTTTGAACCAACAATCCTCTAACAAGTATGTGCACCAGAAATTATTATTTGATTAGGTATGAGATGAGAGACCAAAATTTGATATATGATTAGGATGGCCTTACTTCACATCCAGATCCTATAAAACAATTCTATCCTAGTCCTAAAAATCTGCAGCAGAAATTTCAACTCATAAAGCAATTGCACTTATTCTGTTCTTACACATGATAATACCGTGTTATGAACTATACATGTGATGTACTACCATTACCACCGTTAGTTTTTTTCCCATTTTTCTTATGCTGGCCTAACGTTTTTGATTTTCTTCTATTTCGCTGTAATCTTGAAGTATGGTGTCGAAGCTGATGTTGAATTATTTTACCCTGTGTTTGAACTAGTTCACGCATGGTTGCATCAGTCTTTGGAGGCCGTTTAAAATGTCCCAATCTTCTTAGTATACGAACTGCATAGATTGTACTTATAATTGTGACAGGATATCGAACAGGTTTTGCCACCTAAATGAAAACAGTACATTACTTGAACTGAGTTTTGTCAATGTAAATTTGTAATTAAGGTATAATACCAATATACTGACTATTCATATTTATTTCAGGAGAGAAGAAAACAGATTAGGAAGCCAACTATTCATAAGGCAAAATAACGCTGGTCAATTACTTGATGATGGAGGAGGATGACTAGCGGTTATATGAAACACCCTGTGACACTGAAAAATTTAGCATTCTCCTTGCAACGTAATCATCTAATCAATGATGTTGTGTCTTGTGTAGGGCGTTGCTGCGTCATTTGTACCTAGGGCTGGGCGTTTCGAAACACTGTTTCGATACGTTTCGAAACGGCGCTGTTTCGACTTCCGAAACGGATATTATGACGTCATAGCAAATGCAACCAGAAATTATTCAGCCAATGTTCAATTCGAAATTCATATCCAAATTCATTTGAATATTGCGACTCTCAAATATCGTTTTTTAGTGTTTATAAAAATACTGAATATCGTGCACAAGTCCTAGCGCCACCGCCCGCGTTTTGATTGAAAACATATCACAATTATTTCATTTTTTATGTTTTATCGTAATCGGAGACACTCTTTGCGACGCGATAAATGACTGCCGACATGGAGTGATTCAAGTCAGCGCCGACTTGCAGTATTTATAACACATCGGGGAAGTTTTGATTGAAACTATTTTACAATTATTATCGTATATTTCAACATTGTGGAGAGTCTGTGTTAGCGCGGCAATAAATATAAAATCAAATTTTGTCATATTAATCTTTTTCATCCTTAGTTTCGATAGTGATCGAGCATTTCTTGCATTTACCTCATATGAAATAGCTCTTAGTATCTATTGCAGATTTTATTGTTAGACTGCCGTCGTTAATAATAATATCGTTCAGCTCAAGTTTGTGGTATTAATTTAAAAACAATAATAAAAGCACAACAGTCGACATGAATTATTTAAATCAGAGCTGCCTTGAAGAAAAATAAAACACGATTTTCAGTATTAATTCTCCGTCATTGGCGGATGGAAATTTGTGAATCGGGTGCACTCATTTGATTACGACGATGATCGCGTTATAATAAGCAAAATGAAAATCAATTCCCCCCAGTTGCACAACAGTCAATATTTGTGGGAAGGGATAATTGTGGCGGAATTTAGGCGAACGATGTCGATGTCACGCTGACGATAAACAGTCAATGAGTTAATGTTAATTTTACTGTATAATTTAAAACTTTTCTTTGGGCGCCTAGTTGTTCTTTTTTCTGTGCTTGTCAAGATAGGCCACAATTCATAACTACTGTAATGTTTACAATGTAATGTTCAAGTCCATTTCCCTAGAGCAAAAATAACTAATTTCACTAAATGATAATATCATGAAAGCCCATTTCCTATGTTCCCGGAGTTTAGAATGTATTCGGAATTCAGATTAAAAAATATATTTTACAATGTACTGGATCACGAGGATCTGTGGCGTCGGATAAAATAGAAAATGAGCATTGATACGTTGAGAGCCCCATATGCCATGCTGCTTGTGAGCCCCATCTCTAACAATGACATAATTCATATTATTCTGGTGCCATTTGGTCACTGCATTGTAATTAAGCAGAAACCTTCGTGGAATTATCATTATCGGTTCATGCTCACGATTTAGCCACCAGTGGTTCCTTTTTGTGGTTTTAATTCTGGAAAATATGTGCCATAACTGCCATTGTCCAATATACATACATTAAATTCGTTGGGTAATATTGGTGACATGTTTTACTGTCTGAGACAAACGTGTGTTTTGTTTCGATTTCGAAACACCAGTGTTTCGAAAATGCTCAGCCCCATTTGTACCCCAGTGATATTTCGTGATTTCCATTTTTTGATACTTTCAAATTCGTATATTTTTGGTCATTTCTAAATATTCAGCTTATAGGTGTTGCTGATCCTAAGACTGTCACAGTCCTTCGCGGTCCCTTTCCCTTATCAATTGTAATGAATCTCTGACGTTATTTGTATATTCACATTTTTTCATGTTGTCATACACTTTTTCGTGCAATAATTCTTGAAGGATAAAAATAAAATATCTGAATCTGATAAATAGTAGAGAGGAAAGAGAACATCGAGAAAAATTAAAGCCGTGAATTACAAGTGAGTAAATATCAAATAATTAATTAATAGTAATCTGACAATTTGTTCACTTGTACTTCCAAATGTATGGGATATGTTTTTCTGTATTACTTCAACATATTTATTCGAGCATAAAATACATTGCCAGACAAAATAGGCTGATACATATTGGTATAAACAATGGCTGGAATAGCAATACTTTTAGTATAATTTGAACATGCTAGTTGTGATAACTACGATTTTATGCATGGACTTCTTAAAAATCAATTTCAACTAATTGAACAAACCTCATACAATAAATAAGCAGCAAGTAGATTACTGGCACCAGGGCTTTTAAGCTTGTCAGATGCTGGCAGTCCAATTTTATTCAAGAAATCAAACACACCATACTTTTCCAAAAACGGTACAATATCAAATCCCCTGCAAATTTGAAAGAATACAGTTGAGATCAGTAAGAGAAACAAGATCGAAATTTTCAATCTATGAATAACAAAGTGCAGCAAATCAAAATCAAGAAGCATATATTTTGAATATTTTCATTGACTCAATATAATTTGAAAGAATACAAAAAGAAATGGACCATTCTGAATTTTGTTACATTCCATGATGCCATCAAATTTGCAAATTATCCTAAATGAGCTATTCTTCATTTCATATGCCTTAGCAAATTGCCATTTCCGTTGATGATCTGCTGTCAGTGCAGACAGTATCAGACTGTGTAGGGGGGTCTTACTACTTACTGAATACAGCGCGAAACACCGCAAAGAGCGCAAAACAGAGGAAAACAGCGCGAAACAGAAGGAAACCCGCGCAAAACAGAGGGAAACAGCGCAAAAGAGGAGACGCAGTCATTACCACCTCCTGCCACCGAAAAACCACGGCGCCTCTCGCCATGGTTTTATGGCGCTATTTCCGGTATATTTACAAGGTTATGTACCGGATTATAGGTCATCATGCGAAATTTTATCTACCTTTTTGGTGCTCCAGAAGTATGTGCAGCAATATGTCGCACAACCTGAATCCGCTACACACACACACATACTATTTTCAGGTTGTGCGCCATCTTGGTGCACATACTTCTGGAGGTCCCTTTTTACCTAACCCTAACCCTAAAGCCAACCATATCCACATGGAAAATGTTCTAAATTATGGTACCCAAAATGTGTCACCAGCAGGGGCAGACCTGCCATTACAGCATTACTGGCTACATACGTTGGTGTGTGTTTTTAATTTGCTGCCGTGGTAATCCAAATCAAAACAAGGTGCCCCGAACTCATTGCAAATTTTTTTTCTGCTTCACACTGTTTCCCTCTGTTTTGCGCTCTTTCGCGCTGTTTCCCCACTATTTTGCGCTGTTTCCCTCTGTTTTGCGCTGTTTCCCTCTGTTTTGCGCTGTTTCGCGCTCTTTGCGGTGTTTCCCGCTGTATTCAGTAAGTAGTAAGACCGCTGTGTAGGGTGGTTAGACACAAAGTCCAATTATGATAAAACAGAACCCCACCAATAGTTTTTGACTTAAATTTGGAAATTTTATCATGATATAAATGCATTGTACATGAACAAAAAATATGGATGTATGGTGTGATTGCAAGTCTTGCTATTATCAGTTTGGATTTTTTGTAATAACAAATAGTGTTTGTTTAAAATTGTCATATGGGGTAAAAATATACGATTATTCAGATATTATATAAAAAATATTGTCTCATACCTGCTGACAGCAAAATAAAATAATCCCATCCAGAAAACTGCTGTAATGGAATGAACAACAATAAGCACAACACCATATTGTCGAAAAAGAACTTTGAATTTTGCAGTAAATCCCATCGATTTATCCTGCAATAATGCTTTCAAATCATCAATATTATCTTTTGCATCGGGAGTAACATCTTTTTTACTTTTGCTTTTGGCACGTTGATGTGTTGCTGAGCGATAATATCGGCATTGTAACACATTTATATTCTTATTGAAAAGTGTCCTGCATACTTCAGGACGCAATTGAGTGATACCACAATAATTAGATACACATGGTTGGTGAAAATAACCATGATGAATTTTCAATTCTTTTGCTGCATTTGACACTTTTATTGATAATCTTTTGATGCATGGCAAGGTATGCACACCGATGCGTAATGCCATAATACAGTAATCTCAGATCGTTAATTGTTGTTGAAAAATAACAACTTTCCCAAATGTAGTATGCTTCATGTAGTCTTGTTACTTATAAAATCATTTTGTTTTTGAAATCGATTCACATTGGCATTTCCATCAACCAGCGAAGCTTACTAAGTTTTGTTTTAATTTCTGAATTTCAGATTTCAAAACCAATATTTTAATTGATTGTTATTCTGTTATTGTTGTAAATAATATATATTGTACATTCTGACAGCTGTAGTCATTAAATTTAACTGATATAATGAAGCAATATATGAAAATTCACTATCCTAGTATCCTGCTATCTACAGCAGGTACTAGTATAGGCTTTGCGACGCAAAGGGAATGAAATTGCTTGCATGTACTAGATTAACTATACTAAAAACTTGTTTCGCAGACACACCATTCAAAATTGGCAATTCTCCGCGGGTCAAAGTTTGCACACCTCTGTGCTAAGAGTTAAATATACGCTCGCCACTGCACCTCTGATTACCCTGCATGGGGTTGCAGGTTCGAATCCAATGCGAGGATAGTTATGGCGAGAGGATTGCTGCACTCCTTGCCGCTGTCAGGCTGTAGGGTGGTTTATGTAACCACTAGTCAGTTATCGTACGGCTTCTTCCACCATCTGAACAGTCAAAGCCATGCATCTGAAAAAAAATAACTGGCTAACTAATTCCATACCGGTACCCGACATACCGTACTTAATCATACAGTCATATGGCAAACCACAACCTAGCATTGCCATTGGGTACCGGTAACGAGTCCATATTAGTTAGCCCTGTACTGTACCGTATTCTTGTCAACAGCATCAGAATCAATACAGCAATAGGAACAAACAGCTTTACCAGTTTAATGCAGTACGGTACCGGTACTGGCTGCCAAGCATGGCAACCAACGACTAACATACCGATGGCAACTGAATCTTCTCCAGGTTTTGTAAATCAACTGTTTGTATTGCATAGATCTGTAACGGTACTGACTCCTGGGACTACGCTGTCGCCACCACTGTGACGTGACTCTCACGGTGACCTTTGTGTGCAACCAAGCGAAAAGTTCAAATATCATATCAGAATCGGAGGCGGGACTAAATTTCCATACGCAATTAAGAAGCGAATGAATATAAAAATACAAAAATAAAGTTATATACGTTATTTCTGTAAATTGGAACAATAAGTGCGTGCCAGAAAAATGTAAAGTGCGAATCATCAAACAACAGCTTATAAATATGAGTTTTAAACAAAAAAATGCAGCACGAGTAATTACTTTAAAAGTAAATATCGTAAAACATACACTTTTCAAACATTAGTCACATGTCTTTCCGCCCAAGAGGGGCGAGATTTTATTGATTGATATAAAAAAGATTCATACACTCTACACAATACAATTTGAGTCGATGGGTACAAAATTTTAAAATTATGTGTAATCCATTGCTGAAAAAAGCCTATTTCGCCTATATCGTCATAGGTGAAAAATCGTAAATTTATGCACTTTTCAAACATTACTCACATGTCTTTCCGCCCAAGAGGGGCGAGATTTTATTGATTGATATAAAAAAGATTCATACACTCTACACAATACAATTTGAGTCGATGGGTACAAAATTTTAAAATTATGTGTAATCCATTGCTGAAAAAAGCCTATTTCGCCTATATCGTCATAGGTGAAAAATCGTAAATTTATGCACTTTTCAAACATTACTCACATGTCTTTCCGCCCAAGAGGGGCGAGATTTTATTGATTGATATAAAAAAGATTCATACACTCTACACAATACAATTTGAGTCGATGGGTACAAAATTTTAAAATTATGTGTAATCCATTGCTGAAAAAAGCCTATTTCGCCTATATCGTCATAGGTGAAAAATCGTAAATTTATGCACTTTTCAAACATTACTCACATGTCTTTCCGCCCAAGAGGGGCGAGATTTTATTGATTGATATAAAAAAGATTCATACACTCTACACAATACAATTTGAGTCGATGGGTACAAAATTTTAAAATTATGTGTAATCCATTGCTGAAAAAAGCCTATTTCGCCTATATCGTCATAGGTGAAAAATCGTAAATTTATGCACTTTTCAAACATTACTCACATGTCTTTCCGCCCAAGAGGGGCGAGATTTTATTGATTGATATAAAAAAGATTCATACACTCTACACAATACAATTTGAGTCGATGGGTACAAAATTTTAAAATTATGTGTAATCCATTGCTGAAAAAAGCCTATTTCGCCTATATCGTCATAGGTGAAAAATCGTAAATTTATGCACTTTTCAAACATTACTCACATGTCTTTCCGCCCAAGAGGGGCGAGATTTTATTGATTGATATAAAAAAGATTCATACACTCTACACAATACAATTTGAGTCGATGGGTACAAAATTTTAAAATTATGTGTAATCCATTGCTGAAAAAAGCCTATTTCGCCTATATCGTCATAGGTGAAAAATCGTAAATTTATGCACTTTTCAAACATTACTCACATGTCTTTCCGCCCAAGAGGGGCGAGATTTTATTGATTGATATAAAAAAGATTCATACACTCTACACAATACAATTTGAGTCGATGGGTACAAAATTTTAAAATTATGTGTAATCCATTGCTGAAAAAAGCCTATTTCGCCTATATCGTCATAGGTGAAAAATCGTAAATTTATGCACTTTTCAAACATTACTCACATGTCTTTCCGCCCAAGAGGGGCGAGATTTTATTGATTGATATAAAAAAGATTCATACACTCTACACAATACAATTTGAGTCGATGGGTACAAAATTTTAAAATTATGTGTAATCCATTGCTGAAAAAAGCCTATTTCGCCTATATCGTCATAGGTGAAAAATCGTAAATTTATGCACTTTTCAAACATTACTCACATGTCTTTCCGCCCAAGAGGGGCGAGATTTTATTGATTGATATAAAAAAGATTCATACACTCTACACAATACAATTTGAGTCGATGGGTACAAAATTTTAAAATTATGTGTAATCCATTGCTGAAAAAAGCCTATTTCGCCTATATCGTCATAGGTGAAAAATCGTAAATTTATGCACTTTTCAAACATTACTCACATGTCTTTCCGCCCAAGAGGGGCGAGATTTTATTGATTGATATAAAAAAGATTCATACACTCTACACAATACAATTTGAGTCGATGGGTACAAAATTTTAAAATTATGTGTAATCCATTGCTGAAAAAAGCCTATTTCGCCTATATCGTCATAGGTGAAAAATCGTAAATTTATGCACTTTTCAAACATTACTCACATGTCTTTCCGCCCAAGAGGGGCGAGATTTTATTGATTGATATAAAAAAGATTCATACACTCTACACAATACAATTTGAGTCGATGGGTACAAAATTTTAAAATTATGTGTAATCCATTGCTGAAAAAAGCCTATTTCGCCTATATCGTCATAGGTGAAAAATCGTAAATTTATGCACTTTTCAAACATTACTCACATGTCTTTCCGCCCAAGAGGGGCGAGATTTTATTGATTGATATAAAAAAGATTCATACACTCTACACAATACAATTTGAGTCGATGGGTACAAAATTTTAAAATTATGTGTAATCCATTGCTGAAAAAAGCCTATTTCGCCTATATCGTCATAGGTGAAAAATCGTAAATTTATGCACTTTTCAAACATTACTCACATGTCTTTCCGCCCAAGAGGGGCGAGATTTTATTGATTGATATAAAAAAGATTCATACACTCTACACAATACAATTTGAGTCGATGGGTACAAAATTTTAAAATTATGTGTAATCCATTGCTGAAAAAAGCCTATTTCGCCTATATCGTCATAGGTGAAAAATCGTAAATTTATGCACTTTTCAAACATTACTCACATGTCTTTCCGCCCAAGAGGGGCGAGATTTTATTGATTGATATAAAAAAGATTCATACACTCTACACAATACAATTTGAGTCGATGGGTACAAAATTTTAAAATTATGTGTAATCCATTGCTGAAAAAAGCCTATTTCGCCTATATCGTCATAGGTGAAAAATCGTAAATTTATGCACTTTTCAAACATTACTCACATGTCTTTCCGCCCAAGAGGGGCGAGATTTTATTGATTGATATAAAAAAGATTCATACACTCTACACAATACAATTTGAGTCGATGGGTACAAAATTTTAAAATTATGTGTAATCCATTGCTGAAAAAAGCCTATTTCGCCTATATCGTCATAGGTGAAAAATCGTAAATTTATGCACTTTTCAAACATTACTCACATGTCTTTCCGCCCAAGAGGGGCGAGATTTTATTGATTGATATAAAAAAGATTCATACACTCTACACAATACAATTTGAGTCGATGGGTACAAAATTTTAAAATTATGTGTAATCCATTGCTGAAAAAAGCCTATTTCGCCTATATCGTCATAGGTGAAAAATCGTAAATTTATACACTTTTCAAACGTTAGTCACATCGCTTTCCGCCCAAGTGGGAAGAGATTTTATTATTTGATATTAATTAGGTTCTAAAAGTCTACACAAAACAACTTTAGTCGATGGGTACAAAATTTTAAAATTTTGCATAATCCATTGCTGAAAAAGCCTGTTTCGCATATATCGGCATAGGTGAAAAATCGTATATCATATATCATTCGATCGACGTACAAAGGAAACAAAATATTCTTAAAGTTTGAGATTTATTCATATTTATTCAAAGTCCCAAATGCATATTTGATACATAATAAACAGACCTTATATTATACAGACAAAATTTGAAAGCCAAATCGTAGAGAATTCAACTAGAAAAAGCCAGGTTTAATCAATGAATATAAAACATACAAAAATACATACAATATATACATGTTATAAGTCTTTTGAATTCAAAATGTTTTGCAATTAAAATACACATATTTAGGATGCAAAAATTTTAGAAGTTCATGTATCCACGCAAACAGGGTGAGATTTTATCATTTTATACAAATGAGCTATATTTAATTAATAAGGTACATACACTATACATACATCTCAAAAACATACATTGCGTATATATATATGTAATCAGTAACTGATAATTTTATATCTGAGCATGTCGTTTAGCATATTTAATGGTCTAATGATAAATAAAACACATTTGATGCATTTATACTAATGAAAATCCAAAATGTCCGATTAAAAAAGAAATTGATAAAATTATCTGAACAAAATTTACCTGTTACGCCAGTAAGGAAGGTTTAGGGGGTGCTGTCACTTCTGGGTGAGCCCCCAGACTAGTGGAGCGATGTAGCTGCCTTAAGGCTCCATTCTCTACTGGCACCAACAGGCAACAGTAAAGCCACGAGCATCCATCCTTCGTGTTGACTAAACTTCTGAAAAAAATATGGGATATGCTAACTAATTAATATTTAATATAATTCTACACGGACACGAGACCAATAAAATGTGGACAGTATGCCCGTGGTTT